AACAGAAAAGGGCGTCACTCCGCCGGACCCCAGCGATGGCGAGGTCTCCTGGTGGTCCGCGTATGACGTCACTCCGCTTCACCACCACCAGCAGCCCTCCAAAGTGACGACAGTTTTGCAGATCGTTCCCCCCCCCCGGGGTTGGCGAGGTCTCCTGGTGGTCCGCGTATGACGTCACTCCGATTCACCCCCACCAGCTGCCCTCGAGAGTGGCGACGGTTTCGCCGATCGTTGCCTCCAGGGATGGCGAGGTCTCGTGGTGGTCCGCGTAGGGCGTCATTCCGCTGCACCCCTCAGCAGCCCTCGAAAGCGGTGACAGTTTTGCAAGTTGCAGCCCTCCAGGGATGGCCAGGCAGGAGGCAAGCTGGCACGCAGAGGGGGAGCGCGATGAGAGGCAGGAGGGAAGGGGAGAAGGGGGGCGGGAGAAGGAGGAAGGACGGAGACACGGTGCTCCCTTCAAAACGAGTGCCCGACGCAGAAGGGTCGGGAAAAACAAACAAACAAACATAGGCTAACACCATCCGAGTATACAGCCAGGGCGCTGCCATAAGGACGGGTTTTGGCTTAGGACGGGCTCGGGTTCTCGGACCACCCTTTGGATGCATGTGGTGGAACCTGTTTGTGGCCCAGCCCGCCGCGGCCACCAGAACCTTTTTAAGTCCTTACTATGTGCTCCTTATGGCGATGATCGTATATCGGCGTATTTGCCCTCGCGATGTGCTGGGCGGCCCCGCCCCCCCCCCCGCAGGTGCTGGGCCCTGCTTCGGGCACGGCCTCCCCGCAGACCCAAGGCGCCTGGAGCGCCGGGCGCGGGGAGGCGCCGCAGCTGGCCCTCGTCGTCGTCGTCGTCGTCGTCGTCGTCGCCGCCGCCGCCGCCGCCGTCGCCGTCGTCGTCGTCGTCGTCGTCGTCGTCGTCGTCGTCGACGTCGTGGTCGTCCTCGTCGTCCTCGTCCGAGTCTTCGTCCCTCTCCTCTTCCTCGAACTCCTCCTCCTCCTCCTTCTCCTCCTCTTCCTCCTCCTCCTCCTCCTCCTCCTCCTCCTCGTCCTCCTCCTCGTCCTCCTCCTGGCCCCCCCATCCAAAGACACACGGGCGATCCTGGGCTCTGCAATTTTGTCCCAGCGGGCGTGTGTTTGCCCCGTTTCGAACCCCAGGAGCTTCACGGATCGCTCCTGCACGATGGTGGCACAGAGTGATGTGGTCCAGGGTTTTGGATTGCTATCGTATTTGCATTTTGTTGCAGCGTCAGATCTCATGGGGAGGGACCTCTCGTCGTCCTCATCCTCCCACCCTCTCTCCTCTGCTTCCTCCCTCCTCTGCCTCTCCCGTTTCCCCCCTCTTCCCCATTCCCTCCCCCGCCCTCTGCTTTTCCCATCGGCCCCTCCCTCCTCCTATTCCTTCCTCTGCTCCCTTCTCCTCTCCCTCCCTCCTCCGCACTCCAGCTCATACTCCATTGTCCTTCCTCTTTTCTCATCCGCGTCCTCCGCCTGTGGTAACGTTTTCCTTCTCCCCATCCGTTCCCCCTTCCCTCCCTGCTTAAGCTCGCAGGAGCCACCACCGAGATTTCTTCGTCCAGACAATTGAGCTTTTTTGTATGTTGTGCTTGGTGTTGCTAAAGTCGTCTTCTTGCTACACGCTTGTGAACTGCCTACTTGTTGCCGACTCTTCTTCGTATTTCTTTCCTTGTCATTGTATGTTCCTCCTCCTCCTTTTCGTCCTGGATGGTTAGTGAAGAGTGCGGAGAGGCTGGGGTGTCGCCCTCTGATTCCTCCGATTTCGTTTCCTTGCTCCTCACCGCTCGTCCTATTGTTTCCACCCCTCCACGATATATCCATCCTCCATCCTTAGTCCTTCTCCTTCTCGACTCTTCCCTCCTACTCCTCCTCCTCCATCTCCTCCTCCTCCTCTTATATTTCGCCCCCTCGCTTCTGTTGTAGTTGAGCTTTTGTGTACGTGGATCTGATGTCCTCGGAGAAGTCGAATTCTAATCCCGTTGTCCTCCTAAGGAGAGAAGAGGAGGATGCGTAGATGGAGCTCTCGGGCCGGAATACATTGGAAGAGGAGGGAAGCCGATGATGAGGAAGAGGAGAGGGATGCGCAGGCGAAGGAGGAGGACGATGATCTTGTGCAGCAGGACCGCGCTACGAGGCATCGTGCGCATATTCGGGAAATGGTGGTGGACAGCTGGAAGGGTAACGAAGGATTGGGGAGAAAGCGCAGAAGCAAGGTTGGGCTGAAGTAAACGTGTCCTGAGGGAAACTGGTCCTGGAGCCCAGGGCTTTCCTCGGGACCAGCTCTTCATCATGAGCTACTATTTCAAGGTCGTGTGGCCCATGAAGGGCCCCCAGAGCCCGAAAACGGTGAAAAGCTTGAGGACCCATTTCGCTCAGGACCCGTGTCCTTCTTGGCAAGCGGAGTCCTCAACACCAGGCCTTCCAAGTGGGAACGGAGCAGACGTGTACCGGAGGATCGCGCCGCATCCCCAACGCATTTGCGATGCGTCGCGACCTGGCGCGAAAGGCGCTCGGGTGCTATTCCTGGGAGGACGACTTCAGCATCTGCGCTGATATCTCTGTGGTCGGAAGCGGGCCTAATCCGTTTGAATTATGCTTGATCCGGCTCAGTTCTCTCTTATTTCATCAAATCCTGGTCCATCCGGATCATTCCCGTGCTCAATCCAGCTCAGTAACCCTTGCCTCAGGCTGAAGAGCCCCATATAGTCAAGGCGATGAAATCAGGGCCAGGTTCGGCTCAGGAGGAACTCTTTTTGGGGGGCCATTCCTTGACCGAGGTCGGGGATCCCATTCGTCGCCGAAGCTCGCAGCGGCCACGAAAGCCCTCTGTTTCTGAGTTTGCGATCTTTATGTTCGCATGCTGATTTTAGCTTTTTTTGCTAGAGAATCTCGCAGGAGCTGCTTCCTTCGAGGCGGAGGAGGGGGAGCCGCGTCGCCGGTGGTGGAGAGGCCGGCGGGTGCGCGAGGGAGAGCGGTGGAGCCGCGGCGGCGATTTCCGAACCCTACCCCCGCAACTCGATGGGCCGCGCGGGTCAGGGTCGGAGTTCGGCGAACACGTGGCGAAATCGGAACCTTGCGCCAGCCTCCCATCGATTCGGGAGAACGAATGGCTGGTGGGGGTAATGTTCGGATGCCGCCACCTCAGAGGAGGAGGAAGAGGAGGTGGAGGAGGAGGAGGAGGAGGAGGAGGAGGAGGAGGAGGAGGTCGAGGTCGAGGACGGGAGGACGGGAGGAGGGGAGGAGGGGAGGAGGAGGAGGAGGAGGAGGAGGAGGAGGAGGAGGAGGAGGAGGAGGAGGAGGAGGAGGAGGTTGGAGGACGAGGACGAGGAGGAGGGGGAGCCGAGGCGCCGGCGGGGGCCCGGGGGAAAGCGGGGAGCCGCGGCCAGGGGAGCGAGCGCCCGCCCTTGTGGGCGCACGCTAGCAAGGATTACACGCCTGTCGTTGGAAGCAGGTGTTTTTGGATTCCTTCATCCCCGGCGACTTCAAGCGCCTTCCTGCCTTCAAGAGTCGATCTGCTTCTGCTGTGCTCTGTTGTTCTCTGGGAGGGCCCGGACCTCATCTGCATCATCCGCGTTCCTGCTGCACGTGTTTCCCTGCTTCCTCCGGCCGGCGTGTAGGGATCCGTGGAGCTGTCGAGCTGGCGCCGGCTCCACGGATCGGGGACGTGCCGCCCGACACAGCGCGCCCGACGTGTCGGCGCCGCCCGATCTGGCGACGGCGCGCGCCGCATTCTGCACGGAAGCGGGGCTCGCCCCCGACCCACGTGTGACGAACGAACAACACACACCCATACGCATAGGGAGGTCGTTGGGAGGAGGACTGGCTATGGGTATGGGTGCGGGTTGTCGGACCCTGGGGAACGCTCCCGTTCGAGCGGGGGCCCCCATCCGACAACACGCACCCATAGCCCTCTCCGATCCCGCTATGGGTATGGGTGTGTGTTGTTGGTTCGTCACAAGTGGCCTCAATCCGTGCTTCATCGGAAACTGGAGCATATACATTACCAATGGCGGGCGGTTGTTCAATCCCAGGACTGCTTGAGGGTCGAGGACGACGCTGGGGTGGTGTGGTGTACACTTTTTCCCCGATGCCCTGGGGAAACAGCGAAACGTGTGTACACTAGGGTCCCATATACACCAGGATCCACTCCCCAGTGCAGATTCCCCGATGTCCCGGGGAAACAACGAAACATGTGTACACCAGGGTCCCGTATGAACCAGGATCCGCTCTCCAGTGCAAATTCCAATGCAGGGCTGGCAGAAGCGTCGGTGTATAGAGTTCGATTCCCTAATGGAGGATGACGATTAATAAATGACCAGGGGTCGTGTTCACGCGGCGGCGCCCGGGATGACGATTAGAAAAAACCGGCCACGGGCTGGAAAACTATTTCTTCAATCGTTCTCCTCCAGTCAGAAAATTGTGCAGAAATAGCAGAAAACTTTTGTTTTTAATCGATCTCTCCCATTTTTTTGATTAGTCGTCATCCCGCATTGCCTAGGTTCCCTTGGCCAGGGGGAGGGGCCTCGAGCGCGAGGCTCTGAGCAGGAGGCCTCGCCGCGGGAGGGCGGCGCGCCGCGGCCTCGCGGGCCCGAAGCGCGGCCCGCGGAGCTGCCGGGGCCGCCGCCCGCGGCCAGGGCTGGCGGTGGTCATAGTCGTCGTCCTCGTCCTCGTCGTCGTCCTCGTCCTCGTCCCTCTCCTCTTCCTCGAAGTCCTCCTCCGCCTCCTCATACTCCTCCGCCTCCTCCTCCTCCTCCTCCTCCTCCTGCTCCTCCTCCTTCCGTAGCCATTTTGGCTCAAGCCATTTTGGCTCAAGGCTATGCTTTGGCGGGCTGGGCCCGCATTGGCACTCACGGATACCGCTAGTCCGCGGCAGGGCCAGAGCCTTTGCGCTCGACATCCTTCTTGCGCTCAGTGGTCCGCCCCACTGGCCGCCTGCCTCCTGCGCCCGCAGGTGAGCAGTTCTTGTTTTCGCCCCATCGTTGCAACAGATGGCGTCTGAGGATATGAGGATCACTGAGGCTGCGAACTCTGATGGGCGCGACCTCAAGTTCCCGCGCGCCATGGAGAAAGGAGACGGCAAAGGCGGGAATGGCAACTCAGACGTGTCTCGGCTCTTTGATATGCTCACCAACATCCAGCATGGTCAAGCCGCATTAGCCACTAAAGAAGATATCCTTGGAGTGAAGGCTTCGCAAGCGGAGCACGACACCCAGCTCGCTGCCATGAGTGAACGCATTGCAGATCTGGAGGTCAAAGCTCAGTCCAGCCATGCCGAAGCTGTCGCAGCCGCCAATGCCGAGGTGCAACGTGCCATTACAGTCTCCATCGAGCAGGTGAAGAATGACGCGGCCAGGGCACAAGCTGAAATTGCTGCATTACGTTCTCAAACACCGTCATCAAGGGCCTCGAATGCGGGGTCGAATGTGGGGTCATCCTCAAGTCAAGGCAATGACTCGAATAATTGCAAGATGTGGATTGCTGGTTGCCCACGTGCGATGATGGGCACTGTCATGACTAAGCACGCGACAGACTTGATCAAACGACATGTACCAGACGGAGTCACTGCAATGCCAAAGGTTCACAACTTTCAGTCAGCGTACAGTATCATTTTCGACTCGAATTCCAACGCGAAGGGCTTCCTCACCAGAGCCCGCACCCTCGGTGTAACATGGGACGACCCGACCAACCGAGCCACCATCAAGCTGAAGATTCGCATGGACGCCCCGCCCGAGATCAGGAAGGTCAACCGCGTGCTCGGCATACGCTGGTCCAAGGTGATGGATGTGGCGCGCAACACGAACAAGTGGAATGATTCATACAAGCTCGGCGCCCAAGGCTTCCGTGAGAAGCTCTGGTTGATATCTGGTGACGAGACGGCCGAACTATTCGAGGTGAAGGGCTCTGACAGCGGGCAGATGGACATCATGCCCAACACGGATGAGCTCAAGAAGCTTGGCTTCACAGACGCAGTCATCGCCAGCACCGTCGACGGCATTTTGCTGTAGGAGACGGCCATGCCATCTCGATCGTTCGCCAACATGCATGCTGAGAGCCCAGGTGGCACGCGCTGCTCACTGTCCGCGCTGCGGGGCGCAGCCGACTGCCGAGGGCACCGACCACCTGAGGCAGGGGAAGCTTCTGTCGATCTTGGCCATGTCTCTGGATTGGGTGTTCAGCGCTGTGTGGGCGCCAGCGCCGCCCTGCCGAGCACGGGCGCTCTGGCGACAGCGGACGACCAGGACATTGTCGGGTCTCATCGAGATGTCGATGCGCTACCAGGTCGAATTCGACGGCGGCGTCGTCAACGCGGGAGAGCGACAGCCTCTTCAACAAGCTCCACTTCTTCGAGTACTTTCAGCACATCATCGGCGAGTTCTACCTCCTTCTTCGTCCAGCACCTCTTCGTCGGGATCTTCTCAACATGGCAGCAGCTGGCCGCCGCTCCCTGCTGAGTGCCGTCCTTTCCTGCCTGCTCAGCGATCCTCAATTGTCTCGTGGAATGCCCGCTCGCTCTTTGGTGCCATCGTCGCCCCCCAGCACGCCCACAAAGCCTATATAAGGTTTGTTATCAAGTTGATTCAACAACGCGATAAGGTGCGTATCCAGGAGGCTCGGGGGTCGGACAACTGCTTTAGAGCGATAGAGCGGGAAGTTTTTCAATTCAAAGGTTTCGCCTCGTTCATGGACAACCCCCACTCTGCAGGATGCATCATATATGTCAAACCTGCTCATCGGGCTATTCTCTCGAAAATTCGTCATCGTGTTCTAGCGAAAGGTCGTATTCACAGCATTGTACTCCACAACCATGCACATGCAGCACAAACAGTCAATATTCATAGTGACCCTGGGTTACCGATTCGGAGTGGGCGTCAGCAACTGGACCGAGTGCGGCATGCTCTTTTGCCGCGAGCGCAGTGTTCAGTATTTGTTTGTGGAGACTTTAACTTCCCAGCTGCTGGCGAAGGCAGCTGTCAGTTATCAGGCCGCTTGATTCATCCTTCTCACCGGCTGGCCAAGCACTTTATCGAGGTGTTTCCGTTTTTGACAGAGGTTGAGCAGCCGCAGTTTACCCACAGGGTGGAGGAATCTGTCGAGGGCCGCACGGCCGCCAAGTCGCTCGCTCGTCTGGATCGCATTTGCACGAGAATCCCTACTGGCGTGTTGCTCGATTTCGCGCCATTCTCGGGCGTCCTTGGGCGCCCTGCTGACCCCAGCACACTTTCTGATCATGTACCTGTGCATGTAGTTTTGGCCCCCAAGTGCCCCGACGGGATCCTCGCGGTCAAGTCCTGGGTCACCAAGCATCCTATGTTCCCGAAGGTCCTGGGTGAGATTCTGGAAGGGGCTGGCCCGCTCTCGGGGAATCCCATGGAGGCGGTGGAGGAAGTGAGGGGGGGCATCCAGGCGGCATCAAGGAAGGTCTTGGGCATCTTGGAACAGCGCGGTGCTCATTCGCTCCCAGAATACGTGTCTTGGGCGTTGGCTACTATGCGGGCCGAAAGATCTGGGTCTCAGTCTGTCTTGAGGCGTGCCGTGAAGGCGTACCCCAGGCTCCTGCAGTTCTTTGACGTTGAGTCCTGTCGGTTCTCGGACTTTGTAGGCTTCCATCACCTGCTGGCCTCGCTCAAGCGGCAGCAGATCGATGGCCAGATCGAGCTTGTCCAGAATGACCCCGACATGTCCCAATCGCGGAAACAACAAAAGACCAACACGTTATACACCTACCGATTTGCCTTGACAGCTCGTGGAGCTAGCATTTCGTTGCAGGCGATTGCGGACCCGCTCGGGGCGCCAATTTTTGACCCGCGTGAAGGAGCGAAAGAACTCGCCCGACACTGGGGACAAGTGCACAGAGCCGTGGATGCTGAACCCACGGCAATGCACGAGCTGCTCTCTGATGCCCCCCAGATTCCTGGCAATATTCAGTGGAGGCTGGAGGAAGAGGAGTTTCTCAAGATGATGGGCAAGGCTCACGACAGCGCCCCTGGCCCCGACGGGATCCCGTTTAGCGGATGGAGCAACTCTGGGACTCTGGGGACGTCGGCGTTATATCGTTTGTATCTACATATTCTGGAACAGGGGGAATGCCACAGAGACTTTGACCACGGATGTAATATATTTTTAGCCAAAGGAGTTGAGGATGGGGACGAGCAGCTCTGCATGCGCAAGCCCTCTGCTACTAGGCCGCTCACTTTGTCGTGCACTTCGAATCAGCTGATATCGCTAGCTCTCAACAAGCCCCTGAGTACCATATGTCAATTTACGCGCATCAAACAGCAGAGGGGGTTCGTGGGTGGGAGGAACATGAACGAGAATATTCTGGAGCTCGAGTATTGTGCGCTCCGTTGGCATGTGCAACGACACGGTTTAAAGGCCGGCCTCAGATTCTACGATGTGCGCGCCGCGTTTCCCAGTCTGTTGCACGAAGCTATGTTCGCAACGCTTGATGCCATGGGAGTGCCCACCTTCTTCATCGAAGCCTTGAAATGTCTATATCGAGGGGTTTGGATATCTATTTCGCATCGTGGTACGCATCGGGACATAGGTTATTGGCTCACCCGCGGCATCAAGCATGGATGTCCTGCCAGCGGCTCTCTCTTTGCGCTGGCCGTGGACCCAGTGCTACGCAAGACCTGCCTTCTGCTGCCGCGTCCTGTCCATTCCCTGGGAGCCTTTGCAGACGATGTCGGCCTCGGGCCAGGAGACATTGTCATAGCCTTCTTCCTTGGCATGAGCGTGTGGGCCCTTGCTGGCCCTGGATTTCGATTATACGTCAACCTGGGCAAAACTGTAGTTTTCCTGCTCGGTATGAGTCAGGCTGATTTCCTGGCCGCGCTGGGGAGATCGGGATGAACGTGCCTGGTCTGCAGTTCGAGGCTCATGGGCAATACCTGGGGGTTCGTCTTGGCCCCGAGAGTATCGACGCGTCCTGGGAACCCGCCCTCTAGAAGTTCGTCCGCCGCATCCACCTCATTCACGGCCTCGGGCTAGGGCTCACCAGCTTGTGCCAATCACCCAGAGGTGCCTGAAGCTGGAGAGGTCGGTGCTCCAGGAGCTTACGATCGGCCCTAATAGTGCTTTTACTGCAAAGATGATGATGGGCCTCAAACAGCTCGGGCTTCCTCTTGAGGCACGGTCGCTTGCGCTCGTCAGTCGAGCGGCCATGTGCCGAGCCGCGTTCTGCTCGCCCGCCTTTTTATCTTTTTTTTTTTTCGTAACGACCTGAGCGCCCCTTCGAAGAAGACGAAGACTGCTGCCATGCATGGACTGAACACCCCTGGTGGAAAACAAGTATCTTGAAGGCTATGATTAACAACTATGACGTGATGACTGCTATCCCTGGCATGCCCCAATATGTGTTCCCCCTCCAGGAAAAGGCTGAGCTGGCTCTCCGTCTACACCTCCGCCAAGACGTGACCGCCTGCGTTATGGCCCGTGCGAGAAAGTACGACCCGCACATGTCTGCCTGGAATATCAAGTGTTTTATTCTGGCCTTCCTGAGGGCCGCTCAAAAAGTTCCGCCCTCGGTCCTGTCGTCATTTTTTCAAGGTAGTGTGCAATGCGTGGTGCACCTCAGGACGCTTTCGGTCGGCCACTCTAGCTTGCCCAATGTGTGGCCTCCCCGAGGCCGACAATCTGAAACACGTTCTCGAGTGCCCTAGGTTTGACTGTATTACTATCTTCCTGCCCCATCTCCCTGCCCAGTTTTGTCTCGCCGATGGTTTTCTAGGTGTCAGGTCTATAAGCTTTCCCCACTGCCTGACCAGGCCCTGATTTCGATTGTGATGTGCATCGATGCGTGTTTCATCACGTACCACACCATTCGCTCTCGGCCTGTCGCCTCTCGATCTGTTACTGCCACCGCACAGGCCCGTTTTCAGCAGGTAGTGCGGAGGCGCGCCGACCTGTCGGTGCTCTTGGGCGTGCCTCCTGCCGCCCTTCCTGGACAGGCAGGACCGCGCCCTTAAGGTTTCGAATGCAGGCCATAGCATTCTTAGCCTTTCCCCGATGCGAGTTCCCTCCTGCTCCTCCTCCTCCTCCTCCTCCTCCTCCTCCTCCTCCTCCCCCTGCTCCCCTCTCCCCTGGCTGGTGATGGTGGTGGTGGTGGTGGTCGTCGCCGTATATGGGGCATTCCGAAAAGGGGCTTGCCTTCGAGGGTCGAAGGAGCGGCCATCTCTTCCGAAGGCGGAAGGGCGGCAGAAGGCGGCGGAAGTGGAATGGCGGCGGCTCCGGCTGCGGAAGCCGGCGAAGGCGAAAACCAAGGCAGCAAAATAGCACCAGCGGGTGACTCCGAAAAAGTCGTTGTCGGAGTGCGCCGCGAGCTCGGGGGCTCGAGGCTCGCCCCACATCCCACAGACCTGCTGCGCCCGCAACCCGCGGGGGAGCCGACGATGGGCAGCAAGGGCTTGTCACCGCCGCCGTCGTCGTCGTCGTCGTCGCCGTCGGCGTCGGCGCGAGTGCGCGCCGCGGGTTCACGGGCTCGAGGCGCGTCCCACAGAGCTGCCGCGCCCGCCACCCGCGGGGGGGCCGACGATGGGCGGCAAGGGCTGGCACCCTTGGTGGCACCACGGCGGCAAGGGCGGCCACTGGGGCGAGGGGTACCTCCGAGCTTGCTTCTGACTCCGAACCTCACGTGGAGCAACCTGCGGTCAGATGCTAGCAGCTCGGGTCGGATCGTCGCAAGTGCAAGGGTTATACCTGTGATAAAAGGCGGGTCGTCTTTCTCATCCGTGAAGCGATCCATCAGATCGCGCCCTACTCCACGGGTGCCGTTCCCCACATTGCATGAGATCCGGGCGTTGGATTTTTTGCATAACGGGCGTCTTCGCCCAGTGTCGGGCCCTGGGGCCCTCACAGATCGATCCGCCTCGAAAGTGACATTCGATCCGGCTCGATGGGGACCGGGGCTCCAGTCGTGATGTTTTGCGATGTTGTTCGAGAGAACATTGGATGTTAGCGTCGAGAAAACAATCGTCGCGGGAGTTGTTCTGCCATCTTCGGTTTCCTGGGGCCCTCGCAGGGCCCCACGACATTCAAAGAGCGGCCCAGAATGAAAACTGGATCCTGGGGTTTTCTTTGCCGGCATGTCAATGATCTTGCATCCCCAGGTACCACGGGCACCACTGGGACCAGCACGGCCGCGGCAGCAACGGCGGGGCGAGCTGGCGCGAAGGCGCCGTGCTCGGGGGGCCACTGCTTGGAAAGGATAGCATGGCTCAGCAACCAGGTATAGTCGAGTCGCGTATCTAGTGAGGATGAACAACTTTCAAAGGCTACCCTTGTATTCCTGAAAGGGCCCCTGGGCCGCGACCCCCCGAGGATACGGGGCGTTTTTTCGAGGATGTCTTGCCCGGAACGTATTTGTGCAACCGCGCATCCGCGGGATAGCACCCCAGAATCCAGACGTGAGGGCGCGGATGCGGATAGGTTCGCCGCCCGTGAGGAGGGGGGGTCCAGCGCCGATCCATGAAATCCCCGCGCGAACCTTCAACAGTTTACGTTTATGCCGTTGTTTGTTCCTTTACTCACGCAGCGTTGCATCTTCTGATTGATTTCGAGTAGACCGACCGCATCCTTCGCAGATTCTTGTTCAGCCGAGGGTTCAGCGTTCAAATGAGGACCCCTGCTGCTGGATATTGCTCGGCGGAACCAGGGTTTGCCGAGGCTGGGTCATCGCTTTTGTGTTTGCTTTCGGCTGTGACGGGCAGGAAGGGGGCAGCGTCAGCAGGCATCGTCCAGGAGAGAAATGAGCTGGAGAACATAGAATAGTTGTTTCAGTCGTTGTGTAGCAGGGGCAGTAGCAGCGACCATAGTAGTGGGCGCCGACGTAGAAGCAGCCGTAACTGCATATTCAATTAACAGCGGTGTTGGCAGTGGACCCCCTGACTCTGGAGTAGTCCCACAAGGAACATGGCACTCGTATGATGTCCTGTCGCAATTGTGCCGCGTGTAATACGATGGGTAGCAGCTCCAGCGACAGAGTCTTGGAACTGTTGGCTTCCGGGTGAAAACATGGGGCCACCACTATCCCCCCGAAGCGACAATCAACAGAAGCCAGCAACGGCTTGAACGCTATATTGGCCGACACCCACAGCCCGTCCGACACCCACGCAGAAGCAGAGAGAGAATATTTACAATGTCTCAAACCCGTCACCAAGGCGTTGCCGTAGCAGCAGCAGCAGCGGCAGTGGCAGCCTGTAAGGAGTGGAAGTATCTTCACTCCAGCCAGACCCGTGCCAATTGAGGCAGCACATTTGCAGAAGTTTAGACTGCAGTCGTTTGAAATTTGCTGCTCGGACAGTAGTATCGCCCATAGTGGTAGTAGTCGTCGTAGCAGGTGGTTGTGGTGGTGGTGGTTGTAGCAGTCGTCGTTGCAGGAATTGTAGTGGTCGGTGTGATAGTAGTCGTAGCAGATGCAAGATAAGTAGCAACCGTGGTTGTAATGCTCGCAGTGGCGTCTGTACTTGCTGGTCGAAGTGGCAGTGGTACTGTTAGTTTGCCGCAGCCGCAGCAGTCGCATCAGTCTCACTCGTCGCCCGATAGAATAGTAGTAGAATTCGGCGGCGGTTGCGGCGGCGGGTTCGCCTACTCCTGTTGCTAGAAGGACCCGGCATTGTTGGAGATACCATTGTAGTGGTATGTATTATGTTTGCCGTTCTCTTCGCAGCAACGTCGACGAGGAGTAGCGGTATCACCAGTAGTCGCAAGAAGGGATGGGGACAAAATAAGGTAGAAGTACGAGCAGGGCAATTTTTTACTAGCATGATTCGGCTTACCAGTGGCGGTGGCAGCATCCGCACGAGCGAGATCAATGAAGTGATGGTGCGTTCCCTGAGCTGAGCATGTTGTCATCATGGGGACCCCCGCTGCCCTTTGCATCACGTACTGTCGCAGGCCGGTCGTACAAGCAGGCATCGAATCCTGACATCCGCCGATCTCAGTTTTTCAGTCCGCGGCCCAAGAGGCCCCGACCGCTTCCATTGGTTGGTCTTCCGTGCTAGATATCTGATGGCCTGGGGCCCCGACAGACGGCCCAAGAGGCCGACATCGACGGAAAACGCCAGGACTTTGCAACAACACCAGACATACACATGCACACACACACACACACATCTGACGATATTATATCACCTTCTCAGCTTTCTTCTCATGCAGCCAAGACGCCGAACGAAGGAACAGTTTGGGTTCGGAAGGGGCTCGATGTTCCTTAGGTTCCTCCAGTGCTGTTCCTCTTGCCCATCTGGGGCACGGAGGCGCTTGCAGGGTCAAGAAGGGGCTTCGTTCCTTGTTTAGCGTTCCTTCTTTCGGCCTCCCGACTGTGTATGAGTCCGCGGCCCAAGAGGCCCCGACCGCTTCCATTGTTGTGTTGTTCGTGCTAGATCCATACTTGATGGTCTGGGGGCTCGACAGACGGCCCAAGAGGCCGACATCGACGGAGAAACGCCAGGACTGTAACAGCGCAAGACACACACACACATGCACATTCATCTTGTGATACTCCATCACCTTCTAAGCTTTCTTCTCATACCGTCAAGACGCTGAACTAAGGAACAGTTTGGGTTCGGAAGGGGCTCGATGTTCCTTAGGTTCCTCCAGTGCTGTTCCTCTTGCCCATCTGGGGGACGGAGGCGCTTACAGGGCCAAGAAGGGGCTTCGCTCCTCATTTAGCGTTCCTTCTTTCATCGGCCCGACTGTATATGATGGCCTGGGGGCCCGACAAGCGGCCCAAGAGGCCGACATCGACGGAACACGCCAGGATTGCAACAACACAAGACATATACATGCACATACATCCTATGATACTTTATCGCCTTCTAAGTTTTCTTTTCGTATGTGTGTGCATCGTCGTTGATCTGGGAATCAGCGTGCACGAGACATCCCTCTCGAGGCCACGGGGACAGGCACGACTGGGGCCCGGCGCCGCCTTGGCCCGGCTCTGGCAGGGGCGGGGCGCTGCACGGCGACGACATCGGGGAGGGCCAGGAGCTCCGCGCGGCGGGCGGTCGAGGTGCGAGGATGAGGAGGCGGCTGCGCTTTGCTTGTGGACGTCGATTCGTGGAGAGGAAGCAGGTTGCCAGATTATTTCCCGATGTCTAAAGGGTACGTCACACAGATTTCAAACATGTAAAAAACATGTCGTCGAAAACATGTTTAGCACATGTTCGACATGTTAACACACATAAAAAAACAAGGATAGGACTGTTAGGGGGTCCATTGTCGTGGCATCCGCGACGCTTTGCGCAGGCGAGACACAACGGCAGGAACGTACTGTAAGCTTTTTCGGAGCCCCGCACAGCTTTCTTGGCTCTGCGCTGGGCCTCCCCGGCGGCGCCCCCGGCGCCGCTTCAAGCGCGCTCCGCGCGCCAGGGGAGAGGGGAGGAGGAGGAGTAGGAGGAGTAGGAGGAGGAGGACGAGAAGGAGGAGGAGTAGGAGGAGGAGGAGGAGGAGGAGGATGAGGAGGAGGAGGAGGAGAGGAGGAGGAGGAGGAGGAGGAGGAGGAGGGATTCCAGCGCCATATCCAAGACATCCGCGCGGACCACCTAAAGTCTATGCTGATGCAGTTTTGTTTCTTCTGCAGTGGGAACCCATGCCAAGAAACACCCTGCTTGCCCCAAGGGTGCCCTGGGTTTCTTGGGTTTCGATTGTTTGGCAATTGAAAGCGTGACATCCGCATCAAAAGTCAGTGGACGCCAAGGGATCTCAGGATTGGGTTTCTTGTAGAAGGTTTCTTGTGGTCGAGCTCCTACTGTAGAGTCTATGCTGATGCAGTTCTGTCTCTTCTAGGGGCAGCTTCGTCGTGTCTGGTGCGTGAGGCGGTTTCGCTGGCGGCTGGTTTGGCCAGGGTCGGCTTCGCTAGGGCGGGTCTCGCCAGCGGTCGGTTTCACCGGGGCAGGTGTCGCCAGGGTCCGGTTCGCCCGTCGGGTTTCTCCGGGGGGCGGTTTTGTCGGGGACGATTTCTCGCTGGGGCTCGAGCGCGCGGGACTCTGACGGGCGGGCGGGACCCCGATGAGCGGGTCGAGCGGGCGAACCTAACGGGCGGGTTGGGCGAGCGGGACACGTCATGCGGGCGGACGGGCTTGCCAGCACGCGAACCTGCAGGCCGGGACGGGCGGGTCCGGCGGGCGGGACCCCAAGGGACGAACCCAACCAGGCGAAACCGACCGGGCGAGGCCGATCTCGGCGAAACCCTAATGGCGAAACCCGACGGGCGGAGTTCTCGGCGGCGACGGAGTGGGGGAAAGGAGAAGGAGAAGGCCTTCTCAGAAGGCGGCGAGACTTCTCAGAAGCCCTCTCGCCTTCTCAGGTATTCCGTGTCTTCGGGGAAGGCTTGGAACATTGTTCAGAAGGCCGAGGGACTTCCAAGCCTTCTGAGAAGGCCCGCCCCTTCTCGCTTGCCCCCCTCGCTCGCCGCTTAACTTCGCCGCGGGCGAAACCGATCGCGGGCGACACCGACTGGCGAAACCCGTCGCAGACGAAGCCGACTGGCCCCTTCTTTTGTGGGGGGAGGCGCCGGGGCTCCCCCCACTTCTCCCGGCGGTGGCCGATCGCTGTCCCCGCCGCAGGCCTGGCGGGGCCGATCCCGCAGGTACCATCGCCGTTCCGCGCCACGCGAAATCGCCAGGGCAACCGGAGCAGTCGTTTGTTTTTCGGCTTGCTGGGCCAGGGGGCAGGACCGCAGAGTCCAGATCTGGGTGCTGCCTCGCAGTCACACTACGGAGTTGCGGGAAAGGGCACTTGTGCGTCGTGCAGCTTTCTTTTTTGTTGGAGACTGTCTTTGCCACCTTTTGGCGTCTAGATCGGATTGGTGACAGGCGGCGCGCTGGCGCATAGAGCAGCGCCAGGTGCGCAATCTCCCGAATCCGAATATGGTCACGCGCACGCCGCAGCCATCCTTCTCTGCCAGGGCAACACCGTTCGCACGAGCTTCGAGAATGCCTCGTGCCCCCCCCGCGAGCCCGTGAGCCAGCACCAAGGTAACACACATCTAGGTAACCCGCGGGGGCGCAAAGAAAATCGCGCTTCGCGCGTCGCGGCACTGGCCAGATATCGCCAGAGCGGTTGCCCTCCTCCAAGGGACGGCGCGATGGTGGGAGGCCGCGATGCGCGAAATGAGGCATTCCGCCGTGCACCATTGCGTCGGGAATCAGCAGTCTTTGTTCCTCCGAGCGCGAGCGCGACTGGATAACCGACGTGAGGTGCATTTATTGAGTTGTCCTGGGCCACCTTGAAGACCTTGTCGGGTTACAGTCGAGGCGCTGAAGTAAGGACTACTTCGGGCTCAGGGAGGGCTCCAATTTGCAGGGCCGTTCCATAGCCAGATGCAGGTCGGGAAGCTTCGTGGCCGAGGCTCGAGGTGGCCAGAAAAAGCCCCTTCCTTTCGTATTCCGTGTGCTTTCTGGTAGCACGCTGACCGCATCCGATACCACATGGGAGCCATCGTGGCCCACCTTGGACGGCCTACAGCCGGCTGCCTGCTGAACATCCCGCCACCGTGCCAGCGCAGAAATGCGGCAGCGCCAGCAGGGGCAAGGGAACACCCCTCAGGGGCAGCGTTAGAGGGGGATACGCTTAGGAAGGATGCATCGACCCCCAATCGTCAATGGATCGCCGATAGAGGCCCGACCGCCCACTGATCGCCGAAAGGGGCCTCCTTCTCCTCGAAGACAAAAGAACTGCACAGACATAAACTGCTGGAGGTCCGCGCGGATTTCTCGAGTCTGCGCTGGGCCCCCCTGGCAGCGCCTCTGGGGCCGCCCCTGGCGCGCTCCCCGCTCCAGGTGACGGGGGGGCCAGCGCCGCTCCAAGAAATCGGCTCGGACCTCCGTGAATTTATGCTTTCGTCATTATTCGTTCTTTGATCCGCGTGGAGCTCCAAAAGTTTGTGTCGATGCGCTCTTGTCATCTCCACTTCTCCGTAGTCTCGTTCCCATCTTTCTTCTTGCTCGCTCCTCCTCCTTTTCCCGTTCATTGATTCTCCCTCTTGGACGCATCTTGGAGGCGCCTCTGGGACTACACTTTGCAGTAAGGATGAGGTTGACTCGAAGTCCCGCTCAAGTTCAGACAGGGCGCTGGACAGGAGCGGGTTTTGAACACAACCTCCTTGTTTGCAGCCTCGTGTTTCTCTTGTTTGCTACTCGCACCTCCTTCTCTTCTCTCTACGCTATTATTCCTCTTGAGCGCATGTTTGAGGCGTTTCTTGGACTAGACAGTGAAGCAATCATGAGATTTACTTCAAGCCCCGCTGCAGTTCAGGCAGGACCCTGAATTGGAGCGGGTCTTGAACACCCTCTCCTTGTCTCCAATATCGTTCTTGTTATGTTCGCTCATCCTCCTCTTACCTGTCCTCTTCTTTTGGGCAGTCCTAGAAATTATCAAGCATGCCTTGGAAGACACCAGAGGAGCATTCTAACGCTCCCACTCCGCGCGGGCTCGGTGGCGGACACCGCCTACCCCCCCCCCCCCGGCATGTCAAGACTCAGGGGAGGGGGGAGAGGAAAGGGTCGAGTGGTCAACGGGTACGGCACAAGCTGACTCGCCGCTCTCTCGTCCACTCCCACCCGCCCTCCCATCATGGAAGGCGTTCCAGAAAGGACCTCGCCTTCGAGGATCGAATGAGTCGTCATCTCCTCCTCGGCGGGAGGCCGCGGAAGGTCAGCGGAAGGCGGCGGAAGGAAAACGAGTGTGGCTCCGCCAGCGAAAGTTGGCGGAAGGCCAGCAGGAGCCCGCGGAAGCAAAAGGCGACCTCTCAAGAGATGTCAACCTTTTTAGGTTCAGGGTTTCCAGAATCCGCCATGCAAGTAGTTGCAGTCGGACGGAAAGCCGTGGCGCACCAATACGCACGCTAGGTGCGCGACCTTCACGAGATGTGCCACGCGTTCCAGGTGCGCCACGCGCACCAGGTGCGCCAAGTGGCCAAGGGCCCAAGCGTGACAGGCGCGTTTGTGGTGCGCCAGGTGCGCCAACTGTGCCACGTGCTCCAGCCGGGGCACATGCGCGTCGTGCGCAGAAGGCGTCAGGCGGCGACAAGTGCGCCAGGACACGTGTCAGCGCACATCGGGCAAGATGACCCACCCACCATCCCTGTCAAAGCACATGCAAAGTAGCGGGGTGGTCAGAATGGTATATGGTGTGTGGACCTGTGTGTGTGTGTGGTTGCATTGGTTTTGTGACTGGGCTAGTGCGGGCAGCGCACGGCGGAAATATATGTTCATATCTTGCCACTCTTGTCAAAAACAGTGCAAAGGTGTCGCGGAGCGCTCGCTCATGAACAATAGTGCGCCACCAGCGGATCTTGGTATGGTTTTTTTGGCAGGGATGGCGTCGGGGGGGTCTCATGGATCCTGGTTGGCGGCCAGTTGAGCGGGGAACGGGATGGGTTAAGTAGAAGAGGCGTCTTTCAGCACCTATGCCCAGAGCGCAGGCGGGACTCCCGTCATGCCTGGAGCGTTCCAGCAGGAACGCGTGTTCGGGGAGCAGCGGGTGGCGTGCCTCACGAGTGACCAGCTCGTCCTCGAGGACCGGTACAAGCGGTTAAGCTACCACCTGCACAGGACGTTTTTGCACAGTGTCTTTCTGTTGCGAGGCGGCCGTTGAGCTCGCCGCAGGACTGCGCGAGTCATGAGATAATCCTTGGACCCCTTACCCCTGGCTCGAACAAGGACGGGCCAAATCTATCTCGCATCATGGCACGATCCCGCTGGTCTTCCTTGAATCCAATCGTCTGGCAGCGCTGTGTATGTTGCAAGGCCTGCCTCGCGTCGTGTGCATTGGTTGTATGTGGCTCTTTTTCTCGTGCAAGGGTGGCGTCGCTGTTATTTGCGTGGGGGCCTCGTGAACACAACGTTTCAAGGCGCATTGTCCCGCGGTGCCTCTGGGTGCTCCATTGTGACTTCCCAGTGTCAGCTAACGCTACGCTCCGAGCTTCGAGTCAGAAGCGAGCAGGCGAACATTAGACCTGACGCCACAGAATGCAGATGGAGCGATCGAGTCAAAGTGACTTATGATGTCAATGCGAACCTGGTGTTCTGTAGTGCTCCATAGCGTTCTGGGGTATGACACCCGCCGCATCGGTATGTTTGTGGCTTCATCTGTGAAGAGCACTTCCACGTCAGCACTGGCGTGCCGATCCCGAGAGCACGTCATCATGAACCTTCTGGAGGGCTGGGCGTCCTAGATCGAGGGAGTGCCCTTCGTCAGTTGGTTCAGATCGTGGGGACATCTTGGGGGCCGCGGGGGCTCATTCGTTCGTGCTTGGACGGTCTTGGGGGGACCTGCGGCCGTGGGGTGGCCTTTGGCAGCCGTGGAGCCGCCCAGCGGCGGAAGGCGGCGCCGGGGAGCAGCACCGCGTGGGGGTCCAGCGACGCCCTCGTGCGCACCGGGGGGGAGGTCGGCCCTGGAAGGCCGGCACGGGCCCCACCACGGGACAGCCCGCACTCCACTCGTCGGGCAGGCGCGGGCGTCGGCGGTCTAAGTCACTGGTCTTGGGGTTGCGGCGCCGGCGGTCGAACGGCGCCGAGATGGGGCTGCAAGATGGCGAGTCGCACACGGAGATGCCCGGGGACAGAGCAGGAGGGCGGCCGCGGAGAGGTGTGGCTGCGGGCAGGGTGAGCGCTCAGACCGCGCAGTGCTTCACGTGGGCGTGGCGGGCCCGGGGAGGCGCGCGGCGGGGCTCAGGAGAGCGGCGCAGTGCACGGATGCAAGGCACACATGTGAGCGGCCATGGGAGGCGGCGCAGCTCACGGATTCAAGCCACGCTTGCGACGCATCCGACGCGGCTCTGTTTTGTACTCGTCCTCCTCCTTCGTGTCCTCCTGCTCCCTCTCGTTCTCCTCCCGCGCCCTGTGGGCGTCATCGTTAGACACTCTCGGCCAGGGGGGTGCATCGTTGAGTCGAGCAGGGGGGATCGCGCTCCGCACTCCTCCTCCGCCTTGTCAAAAGCAGTAGCTCTGCCTGTGCGCTTTCCCCTCGCCTGCGCCAGCGTCGTGGACGAGGCCGACGCGGGCAAGGAGTGCGACACGTGCTGCCTCGTGGTCTTCCTGCACGGCATGGGCCAGTCGGAGTGGCGGCTCGGCGAGCCCCCTTAGCCGTCCATGCCTCGTGCGGGCTGCTGGCCTGCGCGAGTCGAAGACGAGAACGCGGCATGAGCGTAGACTCTCGTCTCGGATCGGCGCTGGAGCCTCCCCGCGGACCTCCCATTGTCTGTGTTTCTTCATTGGTCTACTTTTCTTTCCGTGCAGGGATGCTGGTCGAGGCCTCGTGGGAGCGAAGAGGACGAGGGAGGGCGTGGGAACAGGGAGACGAGGAGGACGCGCACCGCGCCCTGCCAGACCTCCAGAGGTTCAAACACAGGGTCTGAGGCGTTGTTTTGCCCCCCCCCCCCCCCCCAGAAAAGAAGTTCGGCCCCGGCGGCCTTGCTTCAGGCCCTGGGACTGCCAAAGAGCAGCTCAGGACGAATAGCAAGGCCTCCATAGCTTCATTACCAGTTTGAAACATATCCCTATCCCTATGTTCGACATCACCTCACCTCGATGCCGATCTTAAGGATTCCCCCAGTTTCTGAGGGCCTGTCCCTAAGATTGTCCTCGCTTTTTGCTCGCCCATCTTAGGGATAGGGATACATTCGAGGCTGGTTACTTCAACTGTCGAGTCTGTGACGTCCTCTGCATTCTCGGCCCTGGGGGCCAGCTTCCCCGCCTGGCACTGTCAACAGTAGCGATTCGGGACGCGAGGCTGGTCACAGGGAAGGGGTCGAGAGACCCGGGTCCTCGAGAATCGAGTCAATCGCGTCGTCGGAGGGCTAAGCTCGGACCCCCAGATCCCCCCAGAACCGCGAGGGAGGAGGGGTGGTGCGAGGAGGGGAATGAGGAGGAAGGGGAGGAGGAGGAAGAGGAGGAGCAAGAGCAAGAGGAGGAGCAAGAGCAAGAGCAAGAGCAAGAGCAAGAGCAAGAGCAAGAGCAAGTTAGTTCACTAAGTGAACAAAGGAGGAGGAGGAGGAGACGGGAGGAGGAGGAGGAGGAGGAGGGTGAGGATGGATGAGAGTGCGAAGGTGGGGAAGGCTGAGAGACCAGGGAGCAGGGGATAGATCCAGGAACGGACGACGGAGTGGAATGGTCATTCGGCCCCCTTCCGGCAGCCGATCCCCGCCGCACCACCGCTTCTTGTGCCCTGCAAGCGTCGCCCATGAGGGCAGGATCCAAAGAGTCAGGAGGGGAAAACACAAATACAGACACAGACACAATTAATCGTCGATTCCCAGGAAAATATGGGAAGTGGGGAGGGAGACAAAAACCCAGAAAGAATTGGAAAATACGGGGGATCCTGTTAGTAGTGTTTATTTCAGAGAGACACGGGTGCTGGAGCTTTCTCTCCGCTTCTGGGCTTCCGGGTCTTCGACGGGCCCCGGGGTCGCAAGACGCCACTCACGAGGACTCATGAACCAATGAAGGGGGGTCCTTGGGGAGGGCCCTGGGTTCGATCGAGGGAAACATCGCAGAATAAGCACGACGTTTCGGAGGTCCGAGCTGATTCCTTGGATCGGCGCTGACCCCCCCTTCCCGGGCGCACGGAGCGAGCCAGCGGCGGCGCCGGGGGCGCCGCCCGGCGCCGATCCGAGAAGTCCGCGCGGATCTCTGGAAGTCGACGTTCATGGCGCCAGTTGTTCCCCGAGTCTATCGGAGGCGGATAGACCTCCTACCCTGACACGTCGATTGAGGAATTGGCCGTTTTCGGTTCGCGAGAGGGCGTCGCGGCCGTCATTTTTGCGGGTCCAGGTCCGTCGGTTTCGGTCCCAGGCCGTTTTCACCAAGGGGAGGTTCACTAAAGGGAGATTTGTCCACCGCCGAGTATAGGACCCGTTTCCAGCAAGACCCTGGTGTGGCGGCGGCAGTGCCGCGGCGGCACTGGGGTGCAGCCGGGGCGATCCTGGCGCAGCCGAGCCGCACAGTCAACCCGCATAGTGAGGATGAGCAGCTTCCCAAGGTTACCCTTGCATCCTCCCCCTTCGGTCCATCCCCGGCCACTTGCGCTGGCCAGCTCCGTCCGAGGAACGTCGACATGGCTCCAAGGCCCCTGCACTCTTGCCGCGCATCCTGATTACGCGGGTGGGCTGTAGGGGCCGAGGCTGGCGCCCGGGAGGCGGCCGTCCGGGTCTGACGGATCCGTGGCGTTCCCGAAGGGGCCGCGCCTTCGGCGCGCGTCGCCCTCGGCGGAAGCCGGTGGGAGTGCAGCGGCGGTGGGGCCGCGGGCAGAAACTCGGCGGAGGGCGGCTGCGGACGCGCTCCTGCTCCTCAGACTCTTCCACCTCCTCCTCCTCCTCCTCCTCCTCCTCCTCCTCCTCTTCCTCCTCCGCCCTCTCCTCCTCCTCCTCCCCCTCCTCCTTCTCCTCCTCTTCCTCCTCCTCCTCCTCCTCCTCCCCTCCTCCTCCTCCTCCCCTCCTCCTCCTCCTCCTCCCTCCTCCTCCTCCCTCCTCCTCCTCCTCCTCCCTCCTCCTCCCCTTCCGTAGCCATTGTGGCTCAAGGTGTTCACTTGGCCCTGCCAAGAAGGGGATACCGCTAGTCCGCGGCAGGCAAGGCTGTTCAGCCTGGCAATTTCTGGCCTTTACCGCGGGAGTTGGGCCCCCGCCACAGCAGACCCCCTCTCTCTTGACAGCGGCCGCGGCTGTGCCGCAGCAAGGTGAGTGATGGCGACTGCTGCCGAGATTGCAGCCATGCTCGAGCAGATGCAGCGGAACCTTGAGGCTACGCTCACCCCGCAGATCAGCAACAGTGTGGGTGCTGCTGTTGAAAACGCAGTGCAGCCAATCAGCCGACGTCTCGACCACCTAGACGAAGCCATCAAGAGCCTCCAGCGGCAGATGGCCAACCAGTCTATTGTTCCGTCCTCCACGAGTTCAAGAGCGACTACGGCCTCGAGCGGACCTGGAGACAAGAGAAGAATGCTCGACGTCCCCATCCATGCTGCCAGCGACCTGGCCAAAGGCTTCATGGGCACGTGGCCGCGACCCGTTTTTGGCAAGGTCATGCAGGGCCTTTACAACCAGTTGCTAGACCGCTATAGCGAGGTGCTCGGCAACGCGACGTCCCACATTCACGAGACGGGTCAGACGTTCATGATCCAGTTCCCCACCGTGGACCAAGCGAAGCGCTTTCGCCTGATGTACTCGCAGGGCGGCTCCAAGTGGCTCAACCGCAGGGGCGGTAAGTACACGGAGATCCGAGCGCGAGGTGACCTTCCACTTGATGCATTTGCTAGGAAGAGGATCTTCGCCAGCATCTACCAGCATATCGAAGCCATGTGCAAGAACCTCGAGTCTTGGAGCGGCAACTACTACCTGCGCGTCAGCCGCTATCAGGGATTGCTTTCGGCCACGTACCAACAGGACATCTGGCCGATCATCCAGCTGGCCTACACGAGCGACGGCGAGTACCACCTCGATGCGAAAGAGGCTCAACTCCGGCAGCTAGGCATTGACCTCGCTGCCGTCAACATTTTGTTTGCAGGCGCCAACAAGATCCCGCATGCGCTGTGACAGGCGCTTCCAGGGGACGAGAGTCACATCGAGCCAATTTTGGGTCACAGTGATGCACCAGATCCTGCACCTTCTGCTGGAGAGGGGCTCCAGCATGCTGGCGTGCCGCCACGCCCTCTGAGCTTATGTTTGCCTTCCAAGCTTCTTTCTTTTTGCGCGTGGAGCGCGCAGGATCTTTTTCGCTCGCCAGCCACCAGTCGGGCTCGCAGACGTAGCAAGAACAGGTGTCTTCCCTCCCTCCTCCGATCACATGATGTCCTTTGTGCTCAGGAAAGTCACGGTCATCAGGGGGGCTTCGGTGTTTTGGACAAGGATGCCAAGGACATGCGCGTGTTCGGCTCATTCAATGCGTCCGCCAGCTCTGGCAGGATTCTCATATTTGTTCGGCAGTCTCTGTTCCACCTCTTCCCTTCCCATTCGCCCGAAGTATTACATCCTGGCAGACTTGCGGTGCTCACACTACCTAGTCCTCAAGGCAACCTACAGATCGCGAGCCTCCATTTCGACCCCGAATGGACATACTTTTAAATTAAGCAGATGTTGTACTGCTTCAGGTCCCACCTCTCCTTTCTCAACTCGTGCTTCATCGTCGGTGACTTCAACTACCTAGTAACTGGGACGGGGGGGGGCCTTTTTTTCCCCAGTTCGCAACGGCGCTGATCGCGTTGGTCAGGTTCGGCTTTCTAGCGTTTTAGACGAGTTTTCCCCGCGCCATTGCGAAGTGGAGCCGGCTTCGGACACTCATCGTCGAGCTACACAGGATGATTCCATTTGCGCCAGGTTAGATCGCATACGCACGTACCCCTGCTGTGCTGTGAATGGGTTGCAGTGTCGCCACGGGCCTCTCCTGGGACATCGCGGGCCTCGCGAAGCCTTCTGACCGCGCCCCCGCGTTCCTCTGCGCGAAGCCCTATCAGCCTTCAGGGAAGACCCCCTGTCTTCCTGCCTGGGTCGCCAGGCACCCGATGGGCACCGCTTGTTTGGATCAGGCCACTGATGCACGTTTCCTGGGTCGCCAATCCTTACACTCGAGTAAAAGTCATCAAAGCGTTGATGAGGAGTGCGAGCCATCAAATATTACATTTGCACTTCATCGAGGCCAAAAGAGCGGTTTGCCAAAGGAGCGTGCACGCCGTCGGCGAGATGAGCGTCGCGCGCGCCGTGCACGCCGTCCTTGTCTTGAACTTCGTGAGTTTTTTGATTGTGATATGATGGTCTGGATTAGAAGGCTGGACTTTCACGAGGCGCCCCCCCCAGCTGCATCGCGACGTGCTGGAGGGGGGGGGGGAGTACCCCGGAGGCGCCGCGCATACACGGCGCGAGCCAGGCCACGGCACTTGCTAGGATTCGGAGTCTGTCCTCTGCTTGGGCTGCTACCCGGCCGACGCTGAGACTTGCCGGCGCGATGGGCCCCGGAGGCAAAGTTCTCGTCGACCCGAAGATCACCCAAAAGCTTTTGCGCGAATGCTGGAGGAGAGTTTTCCTGGACGAGCCCGGCGCTGAGATAGCCGCCGACAGCGCGTTTTTCCAGCGCGCCCAAATGATAGGAGGCATGCAGGAACAGCGCGTTACTAGTTCTCACCAGCGGCATGTTTGGGCCTTCCCCGAAGATTGTTCGATCGAGGGCCGGACGCATAAGAAGGATGCCGCAGCTGATCCCGATGGCGCTCCATGCGCAGCCTGGAAGGCCGCAAGTTTGCCAGTGCAGCAGTCTCTCTACTCGTTGTAACTCCGCCTCCTCTCTGGCAAGCCCCGCGACGATGAGTTCAACTATTGCAGGCGCGCGTTCCCCCCCACAGGTGCAATGGGCAATGGTGGTCTGCAAGGGAAGCCCCCCAAGGATGCCCGTCTCCTCTCCCTCTCCAACGCGGACAACAAAATCGCCCGCTCCGCCCTTGCCCAACCGTCGCCGCCGAAGTTTTCGATCCCATCCAGAAAATGTCATCGAAGGTCGCAGCTTGGTTGGCAACGTTGCGCTCTTTGACAGCCACTTACTCGGGTGGGCGGGTGCCCTTGGGCAACCGAATGCAGGGGGCTGCCAGCCCGACTGTGCGCGGGCCTTCCCTGGCGCGCACCGCCAGTGGATTTTCTAGGTTTTGGGCTAGTTGCGGCCCCCGAGAAGATCCCCCAGGCCATTGAAAAGCAATGCCACAACGTTTGCATGTGCAGCGGCCCTCCAGGGCCTGACTCCACGAGGTTCCTGGCGACTCAGGGATTGGAACAAGGCTGCCCTTTTTCCTGGGTCCTCTTCGCGAGTAGTTTTTGACCGTAGCGACTCGGAGATTGAAGCAAGGCTGCCTTTTGTCATGGGTCCTCTCTGCGATTATTTTGGACCCCATTTTTACGGTGTAGACAGCGCTCCCAGACACGTCTAGAGATGTGTCAGACAGCACTCGCAGACAACAGTGTGCTGGCGTGCTCGGACATGCTCGTAAGCTTCCCTGTCGTGCTCCGTTTGCTCGTTCGCTCGGGCTACTACACTGGCCTCGCCCTGAGCATCAGTGAGTGCGTCCCCCTCATGATGAACAGAAACGACCCCGATTGTATCATCAATATGTTCAAAGTCGTACGTGTTAACACTTCGAAGTTTAAGATTCATCGCAGTGCCGTGTATCTTGGCGTCGCTGTCGGCCACGATGCGGCGCTCGATGCTTCGCGAGCCCCTGTGTTGAAGTTGGTCTCCCGTACTCATGATGTCCAAAGAAATGGACCGGAGTCTCGCGCAGAGCGTCGTGGCCTGCAAGATCTGTGCTGCTCCAGCGTGTAGCCACGTTGCCCAGTTCCTGCCGTTCCCGCGCTTTGCCAAGGCCCACCCTCCTGGGGTTCAGATGCCAATGGCATCATCCTGCCCTATTTCTGGGATGGCCAATCGCAGGATGACATTCTCGCACATGCCATTGCCACTGATGTAATCGATTCCGCCTTCAACTCCCGCGGAGCTCGCGGGCTCAAGGGCCCCAGACGAGCTGCACCACATGCCCATGCTCGCCTACGGGCGATCGCCAGGCGCAGCGCGGCCGTCGGCCGGCTGATCAGGTGACGGAACCTCTCGCGCCCCCTCGGAGGCGTGGCGCTCCTCCCCCTCCTCCTCCCGGGCAGCAGGTCGGAGGCGAGCGCCTGGTTGGCCTCCCCCTGCCGGGGCGGGGGTGACTTCCAGGCCTCGACTGTGGTCATCCTGACAGGCACCAGGATACTTCGCGAGAGCCACCGTGCTCTGGGCCTCAAAGTTTCGATTTCGGATCTGCGCTGGGCGCCACTCTTCGTGCCCCAGGAGGGGGGGGGGGTCAGCGCCAAGCCAAGAAATCTGCGCGGACCTCCGACATGTCATGTTTATGCCAGCTCCCATTGTATCAGCCGTACCCCCCCTTCCTCCCAATCCTACGCCCCATCCTCCGAGTCTCTCTCCGCCTTCTCCTCCCCTCATCTCCCTCCTTCTCACCCCCCTTCCCTGCGCTCCGCATCCTTGTGCCCCAGACCCCCGACATCGTGATTTGGTTTATGACGTCGACCGCCAGAGGTCTCGACCCATTCCCGAGGATCGGTTTAACATCCTGAGCCGTTTTCTAACGGCCCCGAGGCCCAGTGAGGGCCCCCAGAGGCGGAGTGGCGAAACAAATGTTCTGTTGCAACTTCGTCATGACCCGTGGGGGTCTGGGGCTTCTCCATCGCAGCGGCGACGACGACACGCCAAAAAAGATGGAGGAGGCCCGGGGGAAGCCGGCCCTGGACGCCGGTTTCGGGCCCTGGGGCTCTAACAGATTTATCCGATTCGAAAAATGGCGCAGAGAGACAAGGTCTGAGGCTCGGGTCGTGATTTTTCCTGGTGTTGCAATTTTTGCGGGCCCCTGGATATTGCAATATTCGGGAGGACGCTGGCGCTGTCCAGCGCCGAGCCAACACATCCGCACGGACCTCTAAAAGTACATGTTCGTGCCGCCCGTGCTCCTCAGGAGTAGGACGTGCTGCAGGACGATGGGGTTCTCCCCACGTCAGCTTCCCGAGTCACGAACGTGTGGCAAGTCCGCAAGTGCGAGCTGCCGGGGAAAATGTTTGCTACCACCCTGGAACCCAAAACTTTTTTCTCGCGGTGTAATAATTATCGGGCGCACGGGTTTTCGACTACTACTCGTAAGAGTGACCTTTCGCCGGGGTGACCTTTGGTGCGGACCCACTGGGCTCCCCCGATCGCTGAACGCGAGGCGGCGGTGGCGTCTTGCGCACTTGTGTTTGGCCCCCACCCCCGCGGCCCCCAAAGAGCCGCGCACCAAAGGTCACCCTTACTCTTGCTCAGGGCCACTCTTGCGCGCAGGCGAGGGGTTCGCGGGCCTCGCGGGGGCCCGAGAGCGGCGAGGCGCGCCCTCCAAGAGGCGCCCCGTCTTCCCCCCAATGGGCCCGCTCTCTGCCGTGCCGAGCGACGGCTGTACGGCCGCCAGTTCGGGGCCCACGCTCTCCTCCGCGGGACCCAGGCAGCCGACGGTGTGGTTCTGCACCAGCCGCGGCTACAGGCTGCATGCAGGTGGCGCCCACGGGGGATTTCGGCGCGGGGGGGGCGACCTTCTCAAGAGGCGGAGGGGCTTGTTGGAGGGCGGGGCCGTCTCAGCAGGCCCCCGCCTTCCTGGAGCCTTCTTTGAGGGCCTCGCCTGCTCGGAGCCTTCTGGGGAGGTTTCTTCGAGGCTGGGCGGGCCTTCAAGAATCCCCCCCTGCCTTTAGACTTGTGGAGGACGACCAATGGAGAGGAAGCATGCTGCCAAATAATTTCCAGATGTCTGAAACATGTGTTAAACATGTTTCGAACATGTTTAGAACACGCTTCCGACATGTTAAACACATTTTAATTTCAATGACAGGACTGTTAGGATGTCCATTGTCGTGGCATCCACAACTGTAGAAGGCCGCCCCCCTCGCGCCATCCCCCCTTTGTGCGCGCCGCCAACGTGCGCGGCCGAAGAGGTCCGCCCCCCTCCCAAGGCGCAATCGGCTGTTCGCCTCCCAACCCCTTTTTGATGCTTCCGAGGCCCGGTGACGGGCCCCACACTGAGGCCGAAATCGCAAAAAACGCAAAGATCGATAACCAAGCATACAGTCAACCCGCATAGTAGAGATGAGCGACCCTCCAAGCGTACACCGGCATCCTTCCCCTTCGGGCCATCCTTGGCCGCTCTCGCTGGCCGCGTCCCGCTGGTAAAGTGCCGACATCGCCTTCCAGGGCCCTTGCACCCTTACAGTCGGACCGAGGTATCAGATCGAGGTCGGTTCGGGGAGGGTGCCCTAGTGTTTTTCGTGCGTGTTGGAAGTTCTGGTGCATCCTGGGGAGGGCACTCTTGGACGTTCTGCTTGACTTGGCCGACGAAGGGTCTCATGTTCTTGAGGGATGCTCTTCTGGCCTAGGTCCGGCTGTATCGTGCATCCTTATTATACGTGTTGATTGCATACCGCTGGAGCTCTGCGGCGCGCTCTCGCCGCCGCCCCTCCCCGCCGAGGCGAGCATGAGGTGCGCTGCGGCATCCACCGGCGGCTGCGGGCCGCCGCCCCCGACGACTGGCGAGGCGCCGCCGCCGCCGCCGTCGGCCGCCGTTCTCGCCGCCTCGCCGTCGCCGCCCCGCCGCCGCCGCCTCGCCGCCGCCGTCTCGTCGGCGCCGCCGCCTTGCCGCCGTCGCGGCCGCCGCCGTCGTCGTACGGCTGTCGTCGCAGTCGTCGTCGCCGCGGCCGTCGGCTACTTGCACCATGCAGCGCTCCCTGAGGGCGGAGGAGGAGGGGGAGGAGGAGGGGGATGGGGTTCCCCCTCGCCCTCTGGGGGAGGGAGGAGGAGGAGGAGGAGGAGGAGGAGGAGGAGGAGGAGGAGGAGGAGGAGGAGGAGGAGGGGGAGGCGGAGACCCCCTCCACGACACCTTGCGACGCCCTACCCGGCGACCCCCCACCCAACGACTCCCACGGCGGTCCCCCTCGACGGCCCCCAGCCTCCCCCTACGACACCTCACCTCACTACTACGACTGCTCACCTCCCCTCAATTGCCTGTCGCCTAATCAGGTGTTTTGAAACATTTGCCATGCCTCACACTTCTACATTGCTTTCTGGGTTTTCGGGTCCATCATGTTTCAAAACGGGCCTTTCCGTATAGCTGGGGCCAGGACAGTAATCGGGCCATCCATCGGCCAAATTTGCCTTCAGCTTCGAGTTTCGCGGGGAAGGAACGAGGAGGACAATGAAACGATGGGAGGGGGGGAAAGAAGCGAGGTGGGAGCAGAGAGAGGAGGGCGAGGAGAAGGAGGGGGAAGGGGGGGAGGAGCAGGGAAGGGTGGACGGCGCAGAACCGTCTCTTTCTTAACATTTGCGTCGTCAGGAGAGCTTGCGCCGGCAAAAAGAGTGGGAGGCAGGAGGAGCTCAGCATCGTCTAACCGATTCCCCTCTCCACTGGGCCGGTTCCTGGTGGTTTTCGGATGTTCTTGTCGGTTGGGGTTATCCTGCCTCGGATGCGTTCCAGCAGCTGCGCCTCGTCAAGATTTCCCCGAGGGTGCCTGGATCGTCCCGAACGGCCTTCAGAGGTACAAGTCAGGACCCAATAACCTCCAGGCATCTAACCTATCCCAATCCCCACTGGATCATGGCATCTCAGCACAACCAGCCCACCCTCCAAGGTGGGGGCAGGTCCCGCGAGATCGGAAGGAACATGTATGTACCCCCACCAAGGCCATGCCAGTGGGAATAGGGATCGGTTAGACGATGCTCAGGAGCATGGTCAGCAGGAGTTGGCTGAGGGATGGGCGATGGGAGGTAACCAGACGATGCGGACGCTGATACTGGAGCTTTCCCTGCACAGCAAGAGCCCAACATGGGTCGCTGGATGGGGCGTCATCGTGAGTGCTGCCGCGCACCGCCAGCACGCAGACCCCGTAGGGAGAAGCCCGACATAACGACCTAGGAACGGCAATGTGTTTGCATGTCTTTTCTTGGTGATCGGGAGGTGACGGGCATGGAGAGTCGTATGACGAAGTATGTTTTTGGAGTTTGCTTCAAGGTGCTTTGTTTTCTCGTCAGAGTCGCGAGTTCGGTCCACAGAGCAAGTGCTCAGGCTGGAGATCGTAGACTTCATTGTGGATCGCATCTCCTATCGTATCCCCAGAGCCACTCCTGCACCAGCTGGGCCCCGGGGAGATCAAAGTCCCCTGTGAATTCAGAACTGCAGCTCGTAACTCCAGCCCTATGTGGACCCGTGCCCGGGCATTAGTGGAAGAGGATGCGCAGAGGGTTCACGGATTTTCCAACCAAAGTTTGTATGTGATCGTGCCATGTGCATTTATGCAGCAGTTGCGTAGAGTGCAGTGCAGTACACATGCACTTCGCTTGCGGATACTCGCAGGGCGCACGCAGCACGCCCAATTCAGCGAACACGCTTGCAGTGTATGCGCACGTCCACTGCCAATGTGGTGGCCGGGCTGACTGCAGTGCACTCCAGAGTTGTCCCGGCATCACCCCTCCAACATCGCAATGTCCAAACCATCCCAGCACACTGCAATCATCCTACCACTGATTCGGAACAGGCCTGCGACAGGCCTGCGACCAGCCGAACACAGCCTGCGACAGGCCTGCGCTCTGCGTGGCAGGCCCTTCTGGTGAATACTGCCGGATTTGAGTAGTCGGCCGGCCCTTCCAAACCGAAGATGCCCTTGCGTCTCTTGTTTCTTGCGACATGTCCGCTGCATTCTGGGGGCGGTGTGTCCCTTGGAAAGGTTTCGTGTCCCCTCTCGTGTCATCTCCAACCGAGCCTTGCTTTGGGGACTTCAGAACCTGATGCGGCCCGACCTTTGCATGGCGTTGCTGTGCATCCTGGTGCGGCGCGGACAAATCGATTCGATTCCGACTCCGTGCCAATGCGGCTTGGTCCGACGCACGTTCCAATTCGATCCGGTGTCCCGACTCGATGTTGGTTGGTCTTGCTTTTTCGTTTGGCAGAAAGACCAGCAGCTCAAATGCAGTTATGCAGTCGATATTTCTCACGCGAGAACGCAGATCTAACAATACATAGCCTGGATGTCTTACGACATTCGAACCTCAGTCTGAGTCACACGAAAGTTGCACACGCAAAGTACATTGTATGTATGTGTTCGATATGTGCCTGTGTTGATACTCGCTTGTTTGTGTATTGCTTACTCGAGCCTCTAGATAAACACGGCTGGCGCAAGTACTTCAATGTTTTACCAAGTGGATCGTACGTGCCCGGGTTGATACACACATGTGCAGGGTGTGTGTGTGTGTGTGTGTGTGCGTGCGTGTTGTGTGTGAGGTGTGTGTGTGTGTTGTGTGTGTTGTGTATTGGGTGCGTGTGGTGTGTGTTGTGTGTACTATGTGGGTGTTATGTTTGGATTGCGCATTCTGTGTTCGAGGTGTGTTGTGTGTGCGGTGTGTGTGTGTGTGAGTGTTCATGTTGCTTGTGTTGGGGTGACGTGTTTTGTGTGATACGTGTGTGTGTGTGTTCACTGTGTATGTTCTGTGTGTTGCAGGTGTTGTGTGTGCTCTGTGGGGGTTGCGTGTGCGGTGTGTGTGTGTGTGTGTGTGTTTGTGTGTGTGTGTTTGGTGTATGTGTGTGTGTGTGTGTTTGTGTGGAGGGGGGTTGGTGGTGGTGGTGGCGATGGTGGTGTTGTGTGTGTCCTATGTGTGTTCTGTGTTGTGTGTGTCCGTGTGTTGTACGTCGGGGCTCGATGATGGGAGGGTATCTCCAGCGACATTGATTGTTTCCAATACTTGGTTTGCTGAGGGGTTCGATTTTGCGAGGATGTCTCAGGCGAAACTGCAATGATCGGAGACTCGGGCTCAACATCATTGAATTCCATTGTTTCTGTGGATGTGCTATCTGATGGCCCTCTGCCCATCCCGCCACCGTGCCTGGGTTGTAGGTATGAAGCCTATTGGATGTTCGCTGGGATCTCGTGATGCCTTTCGGGGGGCCTCTTAGAAGCAGGTTTAAGGCCTCGTTGGGGACGTTTGGGCGCCTTTTGGGGCCTCTTTGGGTCTCTTGGAGGTCTCTTGGGGCTTTTTCGGCCTCTTGGGGGCCTCTTGGGGCCTCTTGGGCGCCTCTTGGTCCCTCCTGGGGGCATCTTTGGGCGGAAAGCTTTGGTTTTTGGGTTCGAACTCCCTCTCTTGGGCTCATGTTGGGGTCGTCTTGGGGCCCTCTTGGGCCGTCTTGGGTACCTCTTGGGCCGTCTTGGGGCGCTCTTAGGCTGTCGTGGAGCCCTCTTCGAGGCCTCTTGGAGGCCTCTTGGGCCGTCTTGGGGTGGTCTTGGGGGCCCCTCAGGCCGTGCTGGTGCCTCGGAAAACGGAGAAGGCGGGAATGCCCAACCCTTCCGAAAATTGTTGAAGAACGTTAGTGATTGTTGCATCTTGGGGCTCTCTTGGGAGGCCTCTTGGGGGCCTCTTGGGGCGTCTTGGAGGCCCTCTTGGGCCATCTTGAGGTCATCATGGGCGTCTTGGGATGATCTTTGGGAGCCTCGGGGCCCTCTTGGGCCGTCTTGAGGGCCTCTTGAGGCCCTCTTGGCCCATCTTGAGGCCCCCTTGGGCCCGAACGAATTCATGCGAGAAGATGTGGGGGAAGCCCAGGGGGCACGCGGAGAGCCCCGAGAGGTTTCGGACATTGGGGTCCGGGGCCCCGTAAGGCTCATTCGGAGAGCGCGAGGTATTACTTGGCGTCGCTCGGACGTGTGCATTTTTTCTCGGCGAGGACCATCGAGGAGCATGTTGGGCCATCTTGCGAAACATACACGCACGAAGCCCAAAAACCGCACGGGGAATGGACGTCCGAGCGATGGCGAGATGAGGGACAGTATCAGAGGAGACGCCCGCTCCGTGCCCAGCGGCACGGTGGCGGATGTAAAGTGCTTGAGAAAGGCTATGTCTTTAGACCGTGACGTCGTGATCTGCGTGAGGGGCGTGTCCGGATTCCAGAATCTTGAGGATATCTCGAGCGAAATTGCCAAAGAAATCTCGGACCGACGGGACCTTCAATTCATAATTTCTGAGCTCTACTCTCGGGAGGTGCGTACGAGGGTAAGTGATGAGTTTGTGGTTCACTAACAGATTGGCCAACTAATTGAATCGAAGACGCCTACGGCGAATGACCGGCGCCCCCTGCCTTTTTGGAAGCGCCTGCGTGCCGAAAGTTGGGTTTGAGCTTGGCCAAGCTATCGGGCCACGCGTTCCAGGAGTGGGTTTCGAAAGCCTCCTGAGAAGACGGAGTCGGGCGACCTATCTGACCAGGTGGTTTCCGAGCTTTCGGGCCTCCTGGAGGACGTCTTGGAGGGGTCTTGGGCCGTCTTGGAGGCCTCTGGCGGGCTTTTAGGGCAGTCTAAGGCTATCTTCAGGCCATCTGGGGCCGTCTTGGGTGCATCTTGGGGCCATCTTCGCCGTCTTGGAGGCCTTCTTGGCCATCTTGGAGGCATCTTGGAGGCCATCTTTGCCGTCTTGGAGGCCATCTTGGGTGTCTTGCGGGCCTATTGGGTCGTCTTGGGGTCTTGTTGGGGCCCTCTCGAAGGCCTCTTGGCCTGTCATGGGGCCATCTTGAAGGCCTCTTGGGCGCTCTTGGGGCGATGTTGGGGGCCTCTTGGGCCCTCTTGGGCCGTCGGATAGCTGAAAAGAAGAACATGCCCAAATCCTTCAAACATAAAAAGAACAATGATTTTGGCCTCTTCGGCCCTTCCTGGAGGAGTTCTTGGAGGCCGCTTGGGGCCCTCTTGGGCAGTCTTAGGCCATCTTGGAGCCATCTTGGGCCGTCTTGGAGGCTCCTTGGACGAACTTGAAGGCATCTTGGACTCTCTTGGGCCGTCTTGGGGACATCTTGGACCAGCTTGGGCGAACCTGAAGGCCATCATGGCCATCTTGGAAGCCATCTTGGAGCCATCTGGAGCAGGGCAAACTTTTGGAACCACCCTTTCCAGGCCATTCTGGGGACCCCGGCGGGCGGGGCCGAACCCCCAAGGGGAGTTCTTTCGGAAAAAGAACCAAAACCAAAAGCGAAAGGATTTAGCACGCCGGGCACCCTTGTGATGAATCAACAGGGGGCGGCGGATATCGAATGGCTTTCGGCCCATGCCGCCACCGTGCTTGGGTTGTGGGTTATAGGTTGGTTTTGGGATGTCGCGGCAGGCCTCTCGGGGGCCGCTTGGGGGCCGTTTTGACGCGGGCCTTTTGGAGTGTCTTCGGCGCCTCTTGGGGGCCTCTTTGGGCCCTTTGGGTCTCCTTGGGACCTCCTGGGGGCCTCTTGGGGCGGAAGACTTGGATTTTCAGTTCGTGTTCGCCCTCGTTGGTCCTTCTTGGAGCTGTCTTTGGGTCATCTTGGTCGCCTCTGTGGCAGTCTTGGAGCCCTCCTGGGGCGTGTTGGGGCCCTCCTGGGGGGCCTCTTGAGCCGTCTTGGAGCGAGGGTTTGGGGCCTCTTGGGCCGTCTTCGAGCGTCGGAAGCTCGAAAAATCAAGGACCCGAGAATGTAAAAAAAACAATAGAGCAACAATGGTTTAGGCCTATCGGAGCCATCTTGGGGCGGCTCTTGGGGGCCTCGTAGGGCGGCTCGGAGGCCCGTTGGGCCGTCTTGAGGACATCCTAAGGCTCTCTTGGCCTGTCTTGAGGCCCTCTAGGGCCCCAAGAAATGGACGCGAGAAGATGCGGGGGAGCCCAATGGGCACGCGGGAAGGCCTGGGAAATTTAGCAATGTGGGGTTTGAGCTCTTCTAACGACTCCTCAGGGGTGAGGGCTAAGGCTTAAGGAGGTAGGCAAAGGGCCTGAGGAGATGCCCACTCCGTGCCCAGCGGCACGGTGGTGGATATTGTGCGGGCCTCGTGGCCCAGAGCGCGAAAGCAAATGTGCAATGTGTAACCAGCGTTTCTGTTGTCGAGAAATTTCAATGCAAAGTTGCGGCATTGATCTCACCTTTTGTTTCAGATGGCGTTGTTGAGGTGGCTTGGTCCAAAGGCACACAGCAACATACGACGTGATGTGCTCCTCTCGTCTTCGCTGCCTGCCGAGGAGAAACGATGCATGACGGAGGTGGGAACAGCATGCTACTGGACTGCATTCGTTCGAGCAGCCCCGAACCACCGCGGGAAATTGCGCACTCGTTACATTCGAAAGGCTGGGTAGCGAGACTCCGAGGGGTCCCCTGGACAACACCGGAGGGCACGCAGAAGCGCCGAGTTGCGCCCGATGCACGTCGTCGGCGAGCCTAGGGCCCGAAGGCCAACGTGAGAGGGGGGGCAGACCCTCTCAGGAGGCGGCGGGGCCTTTTTGAATCCCCTGCGCCTTGTGAGAAGTTTCTATGTCTTCGGTCGGGGGTGGACAGACCTCTTACCCTGACACGTCGACTAAGGAATTGGCCGTTTTCGGTTCGCGAGAGGGCGTCGCGGCCGTCATTTTTGCGGGTCCAGGTCCTTCGGTTTCGGTCCCAGGCCGTTTTCACTAAGGGGAGATCTACTAAAGGGAGGTTTGTCCACCGCCGATTCGGGAAAGGCTGAGAATTTGCGCCTTCTGAGATTTGCATCTTTGGGGTTCTGCTCAGAGCAGTGCTCAGAAGGGCTGGTGCCTTCCGACCCCTCCGAGAAGGTCCACAAGCTCTGCACGCCCCCCTGGACCGGGACGGCGCGCATGGAGGCGCAGCCGGACGTGCGCGGTCCCAGGGCCGACCTTGTGGAGCGAGCTCGGGCTGTCCCAGAATGTGCTTCGGAGAATGTTGAGCAGGACATGTGATGTCCATATTTGATCAAAGGAAGGGCGACCGTTTGACCTCCGCTTCGCGGGGAAGAAAAGGCAAGTAGAGGGGGAGGAGGAGGAGGAGGAGGAGGAGGAGGAGGAGGAGGAGAAGGAGGAGGAGGAGGACGAGGAGGAGGAGGACGAGGAGGAGGACGAGGACGAGGAGGAGGAGGAGGAGGAGGAGGAGGAGAAGGAGGAGGAGGGGAGGGAGGAGGAGGAGGAGTGGAGGGAGAAGGGAGGAGGAGGAGGAGGAGGAAGAGGTGGAGAGGGAGGAGGAGGAGGAGAGGGACAAGAAGAGGAGAGGAGGAGGAGGAGGAGGAGGAGGAGGAGGAGGGTAGGACGAGGAGGAGGAGGAGAGGAGGAGGAGGAGGACGAGGAGGAGGAGGAGGAGGAGGAGGAGAAGGAGGAGGAGGGGAGGGAGGAGGAGGAGGAGTGGAGGGAGAAGAGGAGGAGGAGGAGGAGGAGGAGGAAGAGGTGGAAAGGGAGGAGGAGGAGGAGGAGGAGGAGAGGGACAGAGGAGGAGGAGGAGGAGGAGGAGGTTGAGGGGGAGGAGGAGAAGGAGAAGGAGCAGGAGGAGGAGGTCGCGGAGGAGGAGGCGGCGGATGATGATGATGATGTTGATGATGATGTTGATGCTGATGCTGATGCTGCTGCTGCTGCTGATGATGATGATGATGATGATGATGATGATGATGATGATGATGATGATGATGATGATACTGATGATGTTGATGATGAAGATGATGATGATGATGATGATGATGATGATGATGATGATGATGATGATGATGATGATGATGATGATGATGATGATGATGATGATGATGATGGTGGTTGGTGGTGATGATGATGGTGGTGGTGGTGGTGGTGGTGGGTGGTGGTGATGAGGAGGAGGAGGAGGAGGCGGAGGCGGAGGAGGCAGAGGCGAAGGCGGAGGAGGAGGAGGAAGAGGAGGAGGAGGAGGAGGAGGAGGAGGAGGAGGAGGAGGAGGAGAGAGGAGGAGGAGGAGGGAGGAGGAGGAGGAACAGGAGGAGGAGAAGGAGGAGGAAGAGGAAGAGGAGGAGAAAAAGGAGGAGGAGGAAAAGGAGGAGGAGGAGGAGGAGGAGAAGGGGGAGGGTCCCAGACTCTCAGGTTCTGCCACCTCTTGGCGAACACTGCGCTGCCGAGCCAAAGACTGCGCCCATCTGTCCACGAAGTCCCCCGTTTTCAGAGGAAGGGCAAGCAGGACGCGCGTCGCCCTCGCGGGTTGCTCTCGCAGCACGCGGTAGTCTGTCCCCCTGGAGGGGGGAGCCTGCGGACCTGTGACGGGGACGAGGAGGGCTCCTGGGCGGCCAACTCGGACTACGACTGGGGCTTTCTGGACGTGCTGAGGGACACCGTCAAGCAAGTGCAGGACTCCTTCCTCATCGGCCTCCTCGCGGGCACTGTCGAGCCGGTAATCGGTGTCCTCGTCCTCGTTGTCAGCATTCTCTCTCCGTGGTTTCCTCTCTCTCCCGACGGCATTCGTCCCAGTGCTTTTCCTTCAAATGCTTCGACTGTCTTAGACATGTTTTCATTTGTCTTCGGTAGTTCCGCGATTCTTCTCGATTGAACATCGCCTGAGCTCGACGTGGTTCTATACAGGATCCTCGCGTGCGCAGGATCTACGTTTCCTATGTCTGTGTGTGCGTGCATGCTGCAAATTGCGACGTGGGACCTCTGACGGTTCACCATCAGGTTCAAGGCAAATCCCGCTAGTCCTACCAATTGATACCAGGGGTTTGAAGTGTGGTGGCAATGCTGGTTGGGGGTGACCATGTTTACCCTGGCGTCAAGTAACCTTAGGACACGCGGTGTCCAAAGCCAAACACTGAGGAATACCGCATGACGAAGGCCAGGCAAGAAACGGAGTGCCGATACTAAGGAAGCACCGGTAAGAATTCCGCCGCCGCGCAATTGCTCGCGTGATGAATACATGAGACATCAAATCACTCAGGTTGATTACCAGAAATGTGTTTTTACACACTATTCCGACGATTGAGCACCGTGGTCCGAACGAGTTACCAACATGGGACCAGGGCTCCAAAGTGCACCAAGGGATAACAGCACGACGATTGCGTTTTCGAGCAGCAAAGAGTATGAGGGCTAAGCAAATACACCCATAGTTTCGGGTCACATCAGGTCTGGCCAGCATGGGCCCTTCGGGTGGCAGGATTGGTGGGGGCTCTTCTCTTGGTTTAATGTCAGCGTCAGTGGATTCCAAGAGATGTTTCTGCTGAATTTCGGGCGTTTGCGCCGGCGTCTTGGAGCGGCTTTTTTTTCCACCGGCCCATGGCCCCCGTAGGAGTGAGTTTGTTCCCCAGGCGCTTGCTCCTGCCCCACATCCTCCTTGTCCTCCTCCACGGCCTCCCCTCCGCCACTCAAATTTGCAGACAGGACCGTTGTCCCTCCGAGCAGCTCCACGCCGATGCGCAGTCTTCGGAGCACGTGGAGTGAGATACACGGTGCTTGGCGGGGGCGCCAGCCTGCGCAGTCGTGGCGTCACGTCTTTCCAAAAAGCACAGCGTCCGCGTGGTGCATTCCAGGACACAGCCAGCAGGCAAGACGACGCGCGCGCGCCATTGGCGATGAGAATTTGGCGCCCGCCTCTCCCTTCCCAACCAAGCAGAGCGAACTTGCGAGCCCCCTGACGCCTACGCTAGGCTCGTGTCGTGTCGACCTGGCGACGACCACACCGCGGGCGTTCAGGGTTGAACGCCACCAGCGGCCCGAATTCGTCCAAAATTGGACGATCTGCCTCTTCGGAGAGCCGCGACCGTTCCAGGTTGAACGGTCCACGCGGTGTCAGAAAGCAACGCCCAAGTCGTCACGACACGAACCCGCGTTTTGATGCATGCGCTTTTCAGTGCGAGACATGTCATATGCGATGCCGTTTGGTCTCGCGGGCGTGCTATGGCGGAGAGGTCCCGCACTGTCGGGGGCGCTGGTTTTGCCGAGCACGTTGACGACTGCCAGCCTCACCTGCAGCTCAGGGCAGCCCACTCCCTCACCTGTTCCCCGAACTCCTCCTCTTGAATCTGTTTACGCACAGGGGCTGCCTGTGCTCCGCGGCATCCAGCTCGATACTGACAAAGCGAGCGACCGTTCATGCGATTTTCGTTGCGGCGGGCAGAACACCTCCCGCAGCCGTGGACACCAATTTTGAGTCTGCCGAGGACCTGCCAGATGGCCTCCCCGTCCCGTCGACGACCACGACCCCGCGGAGAGGGACGCTTAGTATTAAGTCGAGCCCGTCCCTCTACAGGAGGGAGATTCAAAAATAGTCAAACAAATAATGTGGGGACTTTTTGAGTATGTTATATATATATATATATAAAATCGTCGCTAATGCCCCTGTAGAGGGACACGCCCGACGTGAGCCCAGTACGAGGGAGCAGTTCGGCGCCGCAGGCGTGCGGCCGCGAGCAGCAGCAGCACCACCACCACTACCAGCAGAAGGGTCCGAGGCCCAACGTCATCCGGCCAGCTGGGCAGGGCACGGCAGGCCGAGAGGGGTAAAGCACGAGTGGCGAGCGTATCCATAGATTCAAGCAGTGGCGAAGCGTCTTGTCTCGCCTATAACCCTACCCAAGAGTGCTCTAAGAACCCCTTGTGGCTACCATGGAATGGTCTTAGAACATTTCTGCGTGGGATTGTCTTGTTGAATCACATCGGATTTATGCTCTAAGAGCCCTGTGTTTGTTCTTAGAACACTTTTGGGTTCTAAGGACATTGCGTGGTGGGACTATAGGAATGCCAGGACGGTCGGTACCTGCTCAAATTATCCACGCCATCACGGTCTGGATTCCGGAGCGCGATCTTGTAGCGTGGGTACGCGGTCGTATTGATACTTTCTTTGCAGAGCATGGGCGAAAAGACACTCCGTGTCCACAGGGTCGCGGCCCAGGGACCCCGCCCGCGAGGCTGTGGATATTGATATGTTTTTTCCGCCCACGAGTAAAAAGCGACGGAGGTATTCGGCACAGGTGTCGACTTATCATATGTGCGACACGCGAGCCCGAGGAAGTAATCAAGGAGGAGTGTGCAATATCATCCGTGTGTTGCCCATCGACTGACATTCGGCGTTATTCGTGCGGTGTCGTATTCCAGCCGATGTGCTCCTGTCAACGCGCTCGGCCAAATCACTGGCGTTACCAGATCTGGTTATGCGCGTGCCGTTCCTTACGGCGGCCGACTGCGACAGACTGTGCCAGTGTGGCTCAGACTCTGCAGGGGCGCAAGGAAGATGGCAGATGTCTGTTGACCCTTTCGAGCGGCGTGTTGCGACAGTTCATTAGTGTGCATTGCCTTGTTCCCCCTCCGCCTCTGATTTCTTGTTGCCTTTGATCGGCACGCGTGCTCTAGCATGAAGTCCGCGCGCCCGCGCGCGCGCGCGCCTCCAACTCCTCTCATTATCTTTCGGCGGCGGGCGAGGGGGGGAAGTGAGAAGGGGCGGGCCTTCTCGGAAGGATCGGAAGTCCCCGGCCTTCTGAGAAGTTTTCTAAGCCTTCCCCGAAGACACCAACAAAAGGATCAGAAGGGGAGAGGGTTTCTGAGAAGCCTTGTCGCTTTTGAGAAGGCCTTCTCTTTCTCACTACTCCCCCTCGCTCGCCGCCGAATTATTTCTCCCTCTCCAAACCTTCTCCCTCCATCCCCCCCCCCTCCCCCTCTCCGCCTTCGGCGACCCTCCCATCAGCGTTTGGTGCTAGCGCACCCTCAGGTTTTACCCATCGCCGGCAGTAGCTGCAAGTCGGGCATTCCCCTGCACAGGAGGAATATCCACGAACATATTACAAATAGTATGGTGACGATTTGTCGTGTGTTCTTGAATGTTTTGGGTTATCCGTAAGGGCTTCGCCCCCTGCCGCCGGCCCCCTCTCTCGGAGAATGGGCCATGGAAGAGCTAAGTCATGAGGCTTTGGCGCTGTCGTGCAGCAGTATCGGAACTTCATGCGAGGCCGATTCGCAATCGGCAAAACCAACTGATCACAAGAGGGGTTACCACACAGGGCGATTGGTAAGACGTGTATGGTTTACGAGCTTGGTTACCACACCTTGGGATTAAAGGGCCGAGGGAGTACTCGCAGTTTGGGTTACCACGCCTTGCGATTGATGTGCGTGAGGGGTGGCACCGAATTTCAGAAATGTGGCAAATCCCCTGTGTTTTTGGACCCTGACCCCGCGGATCTGCGTGAGGGGTGGCACCGAATTTCAGAAATGTGGCAAATCCCCTGTGTTTTTGGACCCTGACCCCGCGGATCTGCGTGAGGGGTGTCGATTTCGAGCCCCCCCAGCAATTCAGACAACGCGCCCAGGAGACGCTAAAAGTCTTGTTTGGGCCTCCCCCCCCCTCGCGCGGTCAATCAACTAGTTACAGTAACCAGCAAGAAGCAGAACTGTAACACTGGAAACTACAAGCTACAACTGGTACAGGATACTGCGAATCACGGTCCTACAGCCTGGTGGCCCCACAAGGGGGCCGGCGGATTTGTTGACTCCTCTTTCCTTGTCTTCCAAAACCCGCCTGTAGGAGGACATGCCCCACGTGGCAGTGGCTTCCCCCAGCCTCCCCCCGGCAGGACCGCTATTGGGCCGTGTACTCCGTGCTGATGGGCCAGAGCCTGGGCGGGCAGGGGGCGATGCTGCTGGGCGGGTACTGCGCCGAGATGTTCCAGGCCGTGGTGGTCATCGCGGGCTACCCCGTGGGCGCCCGGCCGCCAGGAGAGCCGAAATTGGGCGGGCGCTCCTCGGCCTCAGACCTCGGCGGGAAGGCGCTCGGCCCCCCCGGGCGTGGAGCCCCCAGAGCCCGGTCCAGCAGCGTTCGCGCTGCCGCGGGCCTTCCGGGGGGAAGCGGGCCGCGCACCCACACTGCGGCTCCCGCCGTGGACCACAAACCAGGTGTGCCCGTCCCTCCACTCGGAGGCGGAAAAGAGGGGGGTGATGACTAGGGGGGGAGTTGGGTATCATGGCGTGGGCCATGATATTTCCGCAGATTTCATGGCGCCTCTTGTTATTTCATTACGTCCCTGGCCCCCCCCGCTGGGCCGCGCACATGACGCCGGTCATGATTTGCACCCCCCTCTTGGACACCCCCCTCTTGGCCGCTCCCGATCCACGGCCAGTCAAAACTTCGGGGAGCAGCAGAGGACACCAAGGGGCGACCTCGAGCGGGCGCCGCGGAGTTATGCGCGCTCGGCGCTTCGTGTTCGGCTCGGGTTCCTCCTCATCCTCCTCCCTTCTCCCCTGGGATTTTTGGCGCGAGAGAACGAGGTTATTCGCGTTTCGCGCAGCGCGACTCGCGAATTCAGGCGCCCTTCAATGACATGAATATAAACTTGCGGAGGTCCGCGCAGATTTTTCGGATCTGCGCCAGACCCCCCTGGGCGCGCTCCGCGCGCCAGGAAGGGTGGGGGCAGCGCCGATCCGAGACATTTGCGCGGACTTCCCTGTGAAACTGTGGTTATGTTTTTCTTTTGGTTTCCATGGTAACTACGTGACAGACTCCACTGTTGCCACTACAGAGGCGAAGCCGGAAGCCCCGTGCTTGGGGTGTGTCGGGATCCTTGAGACGGGGGTCAATGCAAACGGGGGTCAGTCAGGGCACGGGATCCTGCAGGATCCTGCGAAGACCCTCTCTGGCTGATCCGGGTTAGCGAGCCACCCGTGGCCGCGAGGCGGCCGCGTATGTTGGCTGACCCCGGTTTGCGAAGCCACGCGTTGCAGCTTTTTGGTTCCTGCATTGCAGTTTTTTGGTCTCCTGCTGACCCGGGTCTGATTGACCCGGTTGAGCAGATCCCCGCGTGTGTTTGTGTGTGTGTGTGTGCGTGTGTGTGTGTGTGTGTGTGTGTGTGTGTGTGTGTGTGTGTGTGTGTGTGTGTGTGTGTGTGTGTGTGGAGGTGTGGGCATCTCGGGATCCGAACACTGCGCGCCAGCACAGGAGCACGCGGTAGGCGCCGAGATCAGGCGGGCCTCGGGCCAGGGGCCAGGCCCCCGCCTGCCGCGAGCCACCGTTCCCCCCCCTCCCCCCCCCCCCCGCCCCTGCCATCCCTCTGCCATCCCCCATCCCAGCCAGGCCCCCCCTCTGCCATCCCAGCCAGACTGCAATCCAGACGCTGAAATGAGGGTCACTTTGGGTTCGGGAGGGGCTCGATGTTCCTTATTCTGTGGCTGTTTCTCTAGCGTTCGTCGTCCTCGCAGGCGCTTGTGGGGCCATAAATGGGGCTTCGTTCCTTATTTGGCGTTCCTTCTTTCAGCAGCCTGACTGTATCGCTGGAGGGCGGTCAACCACACATCGCACACATGTGCAGATCACCGCGCAGCGAGGAGCGAGGCGATTGATCCTCTGGTGTCATGTGCGTCCACGCGCAGGGTCGCCTGACGTACGTACATATTGGCAGGGGCTCCCCTTAGCCCCAGACACGGTCGCGTGAGGTCATTCACGGCGGCATTCATTTTGAAGGGCCTCCATCTCAACACGATTGAAAGCGTGATAGCATCGGGCGAATCGAATTTGTTGCGCCCCGGGCCAGCCAACAGGCTCTCGACTTGGCATATTTCTCGTGAGCGGAATTCCTATTGCATGTGGTGGTGTCGCTGACTTGCTCCAGTCCCGACCTGATGCGCCGGGCCTGACAGTGGAAGGTGGCACAGGGGCTGCCGAGGAGCACGACCTGCGAACAACAGGTGGTCCTTGATTGCTCGGCGAGACTTCTGTTTCACAGGCCGACAGAAGCAGACATGGAGGAGGGGTGGGGAAGAAGTCGGGGGTGATAATGCGGAGGATGTACAGATGAAGCGACGGAAGGAGCAGGCGGAGGATGACAAGGGTGAAAAGGGCAATGAGAAGGACGGCGGTGACTACGATGAGGCAGAGGGGAGGAGGAGGAGGAAGAGGAGGAGGAGGAGGAGGAGGAGGAGGAGGGGGAGGAGGAGGAGGGGGAGAAGATGAATGATGTGAAAGAGGTGGGCGTGGAGTAGGAGGAGGAGCAGGACGATAAGTAGGAGAAAGAAGATGCGGCGGAGGATCATCATCAGGAGGAAGGGGACCAAAATGCGAACATGGAGAAATAATCGGGGGAGGCTCTTGAAGGCGAAGGGGAGGACGACGACGACAACGATGACGGCCAGAATGCGGAGGAGGTGTAGGAGCAGGGGGGGGCGAGGAGAGGAGCATGCAGAGAAGGAGCTTGACGATTGAGAGCCAGAGAACGACGACGAAGCACGAACTTGCAGGAGCAGCAGCAGAACGGCCACGAAGTTCTAGGACCGATTGGTTGGAAGAATGCGTCTGCTGGTTGCTGCCGTCTCTGGCCGGCTCTTGCGGAAGACCAGGGAGGGCGTATCGCCCTCCATCTTCATGTTCATGTTTGGGCTTCCACCCGATCCATGGCCGCAGTGCCAGGGATGCGCCTTCCAGCGTTCCCTGGCTCATCATCGGTTGAGGTCGGTACCGCCACGCATTGGCGATGGATGTCAGATCCGCGATGCGATCCCCATCCTCGCCCTTTTCGTCGTCCTGTCATGTTCATCCTGCGCGTCCCCCTGATGCTGACAGTTTGCGTCGCCCATGGTTCTGTGTCTCAAGCAGTGACGAAGCGTCCTGGCGTGCCTATAGTCCTGCCAAACAATGTTGTAAGAACCTTTTGTGTTTCCCACGAAATGTTCTTAGAACATTTCTGGCCGAGACTGTGTTGTTTTACCACATCTGGCGTATGTTCTAAGAGCATTGTTTTTGTTTTTGGATCATTTCTGGGTTCTAAGAACAGTTCGTCCTATAGGAATGCCGGGACGGTCGGTCCCTGCTCAATTCTCCCTCGTCCTCCCGTTTCTCTTTCTCCTCTCCCCCCAGTATCCTGCGCCGCGTGCCCCCGCACGTCAGGCGCTATCTCGCCCTGCCCGCTGCAGGACGAGGTTCAGAGGCGCATGCGCCAATACGCGCACGACAACTACATGTGGCTCTCTCTCCCCCCCAGGGGGACAGGGACGTCCACGAGGAGGAGGGAGAGGAGGAGGAGGTGGAGGAGAAGCAGGAGGAGCAGCAGGAGTTCTCCTGCTCCTCCCCCTCCCCCACAGGGCCACAGGGGGGAAGCTCGGTCGGAGCCCCTCCCCCCCTCGCGCGCGCAGGTGCTTGTGGTGGTGGTGGACGCAGGAGAGGGGCAGGGGACAAGGAGGAGGAAAAGGCTGGGGGGCTCGTCTACATTCGTATTAAGAGGGGGGGGGGGGGGCGCGAGGAGGAGGAGGAGGAGGAGGAGGAGGTGCCAGCCCCGGCCAAGGGGAAGGGGGCCTCCACGGCAACGGAAAAGCGCGGGTGCCGCGGCACGATCTCGCCGCGTGCACCAGACGGCTGCGGCGACCCGTGCCGCTCTCGGCCCCCACCCCCGGGCGAGGAGCGGGATGAGTCAAATGCTCGATCCGGGGGCCTTCCTGGGGGCCACCACTGTCGGATTTGTTCGACCCGGCGAGCCTGGCCCGACCCGAGGTCGACCCGAGGCCAGCTCAAGCCCGACGGACGCGCGACGCAGCACCAACGCACGAGCCAAGCGAGCGGCCACAGGAACGCGCCCAGAACGAGCACCCTGGACGAGGGCGGAGGGGGGAGCTGAGGACCTGGCGGGTGGGCGAGGGCAGGGCAGGCCCCAGGGCCGGGGGGCACGCTCGGCCTCCCCGCCGCCCCCCCGGAGCCGTCGAGGCTCATCAGGGCCCGGGGGGGGGGGGCGAGGGGAGCGCAGGAAGCTCTCCCGCGGAGCGCCGCCCACCGCCCGCCCGCCCTCGTGGGCGAAAGCGGATCCGCATCCGCGGCCTCGCGGGCCGGGCCCCTGGGCCGCGACCCCGCGGCTACAGGTCATCTTTGTTCGGGGATGCCCCCCGCAGATCGCGCCCGTGCGACCGCGCATCCGCGGGACCGCGCGGAGTCCATGCCGCGAGGGCGGGGATGTGGATACGTTCGCCGCCTGGGGCTCGGCGGCGAGCAGGAGAGGGGGGAAAGTGGGAAGGAGAAGGCCTTTTCAGAAGGCGGCGGGGGCCTTCTGAGAGGTTTTCCCATGTCTTCAGGGAAGTCCAGGGAATTTTTGCTGAAAGGACTTTCTGAGAGGTTTTCCCATGTCTTCAAGGAAGTCCGGGAACTTTTCGCTGAAGGCCCGTGGACCTCCGAGCCCTCTGAGAAGGCCTGGTCCTTCTATGCCCCCCCCCGGGCTCGCCGCCCAGTGGCGCCCGTGCCCAGACATCCGCCGATCAGATTGTTGTTCACCTCGCGGCCTCCCCACCCCTTCCCAGGGGTGCTTCTTCGTTCCGGATCCGCTCCTGACGGCCCCCAAACGCGCCCCGGAGGGAGGCCCACATCCAGGGTCGGCCACGCGCAGAGGGGGTAATTAGGGGGAGGGGGGACGGCTTCTTAGAAGCACCCCTGCTTCTCAGAAGGCGCTGGCCTCCTCTATAGATGTAAGGCCGGCGCCTTCTCAGAAGCCGCCTGCTTCCAAGAAGCCCTCCCCCCCTACCCCCACCCCCCCCTGCGCGCCGCCAAAGCTCCTCGGACCTCTGGGTCGGGCCCCGCTGCCCGCCGCGCGCCGCGCATCCGCGGGGCCCGCCGCGGCGCTGCGCGGCTCCCCCGGGGCGCGCGGGCGGCGGCCTCTCGCCACCCGCGCGCTCGGCCGCGCGGAGGACTCGCGGCCATGGAGGACAGCGCCGGGAGGGCGTTCGTGTTTGCGCAGGCTCAGGCAATCGACTCGACGCACCCAGACTCTCAAGCAGTGGCGAAGCGTCCTGGCGCGCCGACAGTCCTACCCAGCAATGTTCTAAGAACCTCTTGTGGTTCCCACGAAATGTTCTTAGAACGTTTCTGGCCGGGCCTGCCTTGTTTTAACACATCGGGCTTATGTTCTACGAGCAGTGTGTGTTATTCTTCGATTTTTTTGGTTTTGAGAACATGTCGTGGTAGGACTATAGGAATGCCGGGACGGTCGGTCCCTGCTCAGCAGACCACCTCACGTTGTGAAACAATCTCGGCGGGAGGTTTTTGTTCGCTATCTTCGGTTTTCGGGGGCACCTATACTTGGCCCGCGGGGTCGTCCAAGAATGACTCGGGATGACAAAGCTGGTCCCGGGGAAGGAGTCCAGACCTCTGGGGCCGAAGTTGTGGAACAAATCACGACGCCTGGGGTCTGGGTAAGATTGACCTTTCGCTAGAGTGACCCTTGGTGCGGGCCCACTGGGTTCCCCCGATCGCCAGACGCGCGATGCAGCGGTAGCGTCTTGCGCGATCGTGTTTGGCCCTCCCACGGCCCTCAAAAAGCCGCGCCCCAAAGGTCGCTCGTGCCCCAAGATCACGCCTGCGTGTGGCTGAGACAAGTTCACCTGCACGGCCTTTCCCGTGGGCAAGTTCTTGCGTGGCTCCTCGAGGGCATGTCTGCTCGAAGCCTCCGGGCCCCTCTGAGATGTCAGGCGGCCCCTGCCTTCGGGAGGCCCTCCGCCTCCCGGCCTCTGAGGGAGCGTGGCTCGGCAGGCTGGGGGCAGGTTTGCTTGCATGGCATTCCCAGGCAGCTTGTGTGCACTGTACAACACTGGCGTCTCTTGAGGCGTCGTCGGTTCTTGACCCCAGAACAGTATGCTGCATAGTTGTTCGGCCCCCAGAGCCGAAACAACTACGGACTGTGCCGCGTTGGAGCGGGACGGAGTCCAGGCATGGCACGGTACACCGGTGCATGAGCGCCATTCTCGTATTGATTCAAGCTCGTGCAAGTTCACTTGCCTGGCGTTCTCCCGTGGGCAAGATCTTGCGTGGTCCCTAGAAAGCCTTGCTCTTCGAAGCCTCCAGGCTCTTCTGAGATCTAAGACGGCCCCTGCCTTCTTAGGGGCCCTCCGCAAGCCGCTTCCCGGCCTCTAAGAGGGCGTTGTTCCGTAGACTCGGGTCGGTTCACCTGCGTGGCATTCCCTTCCCCCCCTCTGCCGCCTTTTCAAGCGATGCTGGGCTGGAAGAGGCGTCCACGAGAGACCCGGCTTGCGTGAAGTCCAGACTCCTTTTCGGGCCTCGCCGCGCCCCTCTCCCCCCTCCATGCAAACAGACTTGCCAGAATTTGCAGGAGAACAGCCTCTGGGGGGAGACGGGCGGGGGCGGGTGGAGGCTTTCGGCTTCGAGGTTTGGAGGTCTCCGGGGCTTTGCGGCGGCTCCTGGCGGTTTTCCGGCCTCGGGGTGCCTGCCTGCAGCTGCGCTTCGCCGAGAGCTTTCCGGAGGTGCCCGGACCGTTCCGAACCACCGCCAGAGATCCGAGCCCGAGAACCTTTTGGGACGGGGATCGGGTGAGGGGGTGACGCGGGGACGGCTAGACCCCGACCCTTGGAACAGGGCGCCTGCGCGCGAGCCGACTCCAGCAAAAGCGCGCGACGAGTGACCGAGCGAGGCGAGCACAGCCAAGCGACCCCGCAGAAGCCCCTTTCTTTAATGCGCAGCCTCCTTGGAAAGGATGCCTCCACCCCGAGTCGCCCGCTCATCGCCAACGTGGGGCCCGACAGCCCACTCCGCCCAGGAGCGTGCGGCTTCGCTCCCCGAACCGGTCTCCCCCTGCCGCTGCTGTGGCCCCCCCGCCTCTGGACGGAGGCCTGCTTCGGGCCTGCGGGGCCGCCTGGCGGGCGAGAGTCGGAGGTCGATCGACCTCCTACCCCGACACGTCGAGTGAGGAATCGGCCGTTTTCGGTTGGCGAGAGGGCGTCGCGGCCGTCACTTCTGCGGGTCCAGGTCCGCCGGGTTCGGTCCCAGGCCGTTTTCACTCAGGGGAGGTTTATTAGAGGGAGGTTTGTTTATCGCCTAGAGAGGCAGGCCCATGGCCAGGGGGTCGAGAGGTCCGCGGGGGCCCCCGCGCGTCGAAAGAGCGGGCGGGCAGCTCTCCTGTGCTTGGTGTCCCGAACCCCAGCCCCGTCCTGGGCTGGGGTTCGGATGCCAGGGACAGGCGGAGGAGCAGGGGCAGGAACATGGAAAGGTCCAGAGACGAACTGTTCTGCCTGCCTTCTGTTTTCCAGGCGTGGGTTTCCCCAGGCTCCTTCCCTGGCCTTTCCCGCTGAGCTTGTCCCAGGCTCTCCAGAGGCTCTCCCTGGGCTTCCGTGAGCTTCGGGGATCTCTCCCGAAGGCTGCCCACTTGCCTCTTCCTGGACCGCTCCTCTCAGCGAAGCTGGGTGCGCCCACCAGCCAGGACGATGGCATGGACTCGCTATTCTCCGAGTTCATGAACCAGGCGGGTCGGCTCCAGACAGGGTGTCGCTGTCGGGGCGTCGACGGGGCTGGGGGCTGGCAGGAGACCCGCGCCACGTGGCGGAAGTGAATCAACGGGGTGTTGCCGGCGGGGAGTTCGGAGGAAGCCAGCAAATTCGAGAGATTGTCAGAGGAGGCAACGCTACCGAAACCGTAAATTTTCCGCGTTTTGGCCATTTTGGGTTTCCTGGGAGGCCCTCGTCGCCACTGCTGGATCCTCCTCCCAATCCTGGTCAGAACGCATCCTGGCCGAGGGCCAAGGAGTAGTGGTGTCGAGACTTTGTTGTGGCCCCCCCCCTTATGATGTTGGTGTCATCAGGGTGTTCTGCAGTTGGCCAGGTGACTAACATCAAGTCTAACAAGATGAAAAAGCTCGAGGAGAAGCAGGGCTCGCCAGAGGAGATCATTGAACGGCTCACGGCGACCAAGTACGATCCGAAGCAGGGCTTCGGCTCTGCGTTCGCGGTCCTGCAGGTCAGCCCGGAGGCCTCGGAGGCCGATATAACAAAGGCTTACCGCAAGATGTCGGTGTTGATACATCCGGACAAGTGCAAGCTCGAGAAGGCAACAGACGCTTTCATGATCCTGAAGCAAGCGTACAGCGACACCAAGGACCCGAACTACAACGACAAGTACAGCGACGTCCTCCAGGAGGCCAAGGCGCGGGTGAGGAAGCACCGGGAGCAGGAGAACAAGGCCCGCGAGAAGCGCGGAGAGGATCCTCTCGACATGGAGGGCAACGACTTCGACCAGGCCGTGCTGCGAGAGTGCGAGAAGATGACATCCCAGACCGCCGAGGAGAAGGAGCATAGCAACTCGGTGCTGGAGGCGAACATGAAGCGCCAGCAGGAGATGATCAGGCAGGCCAAGCAGCAGAAGCGAGAGTTGGATGCCGAGAAGAAGAAGTTTGAGCGACACAGAGACAAGCGCGCGGCAGGCTGGCAGGTGTTCATGCAGAACGTGGAGACCAAGAAGCTGAAGACGGAGGCGTTCCACAAGATCGGTCGGGTGGGTGCGGCAGACTACCACCACAAGCGGGAGGACAGGAAGGAAACCGACGGCAAGGCCGAGATTGACCTGTCCGACGAAAAGGTCTGGAGGTCCGACGTCCAGGCCGGTCACACGGGAATCGACCTGTCATACAAGAAGAAGTGGCGGTGAGGCCGCGCACGCGGCCGGCGGAGGCCGCGCAGGCGTCCGCCGAGCGGGCGTTGCCGCTGGCCGCCGGCACTTCTTATTCAGGGGGGCTTGAAATTTGCCCCCCAGGTCCCCCGCGACCGTTGGGTCGGACGAGCTGGGGGGTCGGAGGGGCTATTGGTTCCCAGACCCCCTCGGGGCAGGCCAGGATCCTGACGGGGGCGTTGTCGTGCTGCTCTTCGGCCCTTGGGGGGGCGCTCGCGGGGCCCCCCGGGACCGTCGAGAGCAACGGCTCGGGATGGGAAGCCCGTCCCGGGGAAGGGGTCGAGACCTCCCGGTGGCCAACGTCAAGAGAAGTCATGCAGGGTCGGCAGGTTAAGGACGCGCCAAGATACCCCGCCACGGCACCCCGACGGTGCCACGGCGGGGTTGGCCACGGCGGCGGTATCTTGGTTGCCTGCAGGGTCGGGGTGCCGCGGCGGCGTCGGTGGTTGTGGGCAAAGCCCCGCCTCGCATTGATGTACACACCACGTCGTATGGTCGACCTGGAGCGTTTCTATACAGAGGTCCATGGCCGACTAGAAGACATGGTGTATACGCCTAGCCCCTCCAAGGGGGACAGGGAAAGAGCGGGGTACGAAACCTGCTGCATGCAGCTGATCTCGGCCCCGACCTCCAGCGCCAGGAAGTCCAGTTACGCGAGCTGAGCTCCCAACATCCCTGTTGTCCGACCCGCGGCCCCCCCTCAGACATCCAGGGTCTTGAGAAAATCAATGCGGAGGTTTCTCACCCCGTTTTTCGTCTCCAGGGACCGTCTTTGGGCTCCAGGACCAGCAGAAGCAACACATTCAGCATGAAAATCGGGAGTCTCCAAACGGTGTTGTGACCACACCGCGTGGTGAGTTAGTGGGGATAATTACGTGGTCACCGCACGGTTTTGGGACTCGGGTCGTTCTCCGAGGACGTCTCGGGCGACCAGGGCCTTCGAGGTCTTACGACCGTGCGATGAGGGACAGCGCGGTGAGATCTCTTGGCATTTCGAGGTTGCCGCGCGGTCCGTCACCACACGGTTTCGGGTCCCCCAGAGAGGTCCGCAGTGGAACAGTCAAGACATCGGACGTCTGGGTTCCTCAACCGCCCCTGCGTCTGCCCCTCTCCTCCAGATTCTTCCCCCGCCATTGCCGCCGTCCTTCTGCGAGGCACTGCCTGGATTGCAGGGCCGAGAAATTGCCTCCTCCCTCTCGCCCCCGTCCTCCTCACTCCTGCCAGTTGCCCCAGTTCGATCGTCTTTCCTCAGCCTTCCCCTTCTCAGCCTCGTCCCCGCCTCCGCCTCCACGGTCATCTTCATCACTGCTCCTCCTCCTCCTCCTCCTTTTCTCCCTTATACGTCTGCTGTTCCCAGTCTGCATCGCCGCCCTCCTCGTCTCCCCATGCGCGCTTCTCCCCCTCCTCCTCCTCCTCCTCCTCCTCCTCCTCCTCCTCCTCCTCCTCCTCCTCCTCCCCTCCTCCTCATCCTCGTCCCTCTCCTCCTCCTTCTCCTCCTCCACCTCCGCCTCCCCCTTGCCCCTCTCCTCGGAAGGAAAGGGGGAACCACCACCACCACCAGGAGGCCCACCTTCAGCGAGGGGGTCCACGATGCCTCCCCGAGCTGGGGACAGAGGGATGTCTCGAGCGGACGGGGGGGGGGACCACGCGGCCACTCTCCCTGGCTCCCGTCGCGCTGGTGGTGTTGGTGTCGCCTTTCCTTACTCCTGCGTCACGCTCTCCGACGGCGTGATGATGGTCACTGCGCGGACCCCCAGAGGTCCAGACCCATTGCACCCAAGCGGTTGTTTTTGACGGTCCCGGGCCCCGGCGGGGGCCCCGGGAGGCCGAAGATTGCCCACCTTTTCTGCCGTTAAAAAAATGGGCCTTCGGCCAATCTCGCCACCGCGCCTGGGCTGTGGATCAGAGGCATCTCGGGGCCTTTCTTGGCCCGTTTTGTGGCGCTGGTGGCTCCCAAAAGTCACGCGGGAAGCGCCGGGGAGCCGCGGGAGGAACGCAGGGAATCCTGGAAAGTTTGAAAGTTCAGGGTCTGCAGCCCCTGAATTTCCAATCCTGGGGGCTGCAAGGACTCAGGATAAAGGGGGGGGCTGAATTCCCAACCCCTGTGAGGTGGGGGCTCCTGTCATCGAGAATGATAAATCCGAGCCCTAATAGCACAATTCAGCACGTAGCCTAGCTTACTGTCCCCATCTTTGCATCAGGGCTCTAATACTTGATGCAGGTGGCTTTGTGTGGCACATCTGCGGAGAAGACTCCCGTATCCCTAATGGCCTGAGTCTCGTAACTCGGGTCCGCTCTGCAAGGGCTGCGGGGCAACCCAGCTGCTGATCGTCCTCCTCGCTTGCGCTCCTGCACGCGGCCTCCCTGTCGCAGGCCTAGAGGTTGACGCCAACACCAATATCGGCGGTGTTCCTCAACTGAGGGAAGAGGATCCCGATCTCGGCGATGGTGGTGATACTCTGGCTTCCAGGGTGGCCGAACTAGTACCACCAACACCGACATCTAGGCTCCTCTTCCCCATGTGGAGGCGCAACCCCCTGTGTTGGTGGTGGTGGTGCCCATGCCCAGGCCCCCACCCTCTGGGGCTCGGGGCCGCCCGCCCCCCCGATGGGGGGGGGCACCCGGAGCGGCGCGCTGCTCAGATGCGCCGCCGCCAGGCCGCGCGCGCGCGGCGGCAGGGCCGCGGCGGGGGCGCACATGTCCGCGGCGAGGCCGGAGGGGCAGCAGCGCCACGGCGGCGGCGGAGACGCAGCTCCTGGGAGGCCAGTAGTCCTGCGTTCGCCCTGGTCCGAGATCCGGCTGAATCCCGCTGGAGCCCGCTGGGTCCCGCTTGATTGATCCCGGTCGATCCCGCTCAATCCTGATCAGATTCCGATTCTGCCCTGGTCCGCAATCCGGCTCCATCCCGCTTCGTCCCGCTTCATCCCGCTGAATCCCGCTCAATCCCGCTTCATCCGAGGCCCACTCCAGCGTAACAGCTCCCAAATGGGGCTTAATCCTCTTTAATCTCGGAAGCGGCAAAGAGGGGGGTGACGACTAGGGGGGGGTGGATATCATGGCGTGGGCCATGATATTTCCCCAGATTCCATGGCGCCCCTTCTCATTCCATTACGTCCCTGGCCCCCCCGCTGGGCCGCGCACATGCCGCCGGTCATGATTTGCACCCCCCCTCTTGGATACCCCCATCTTGGCCGCTCCTGAGCTTAATCCCGTTTAATCCCGCTTAATCCGAGGCCCACTCCGGCGTATCAGCTCCCAAAGGGGGCCTAATCCTCTTTCATCTTTCCGACGGGAACCTCCCAGCAGTTGCCTCCGAAAGCTACGACTTGGAGCCGGCTGGGGGTCCTGAGCTGGCCCAGCACCGGTGCCGGCCAGCCGGACGGGCGGGCGCAGGTTCAAGGCTGTTTTGCCTTTTTTCAGCCTCCGGGAGCGGTGGGACCCTGGGAGGGATCTCGGGACAGATTTTGAGCGGATGGGGCCACATCCCCATTTTCTGACTGCTCTTATGGGGGTCCCAACCAGCTCAGACCCCCCGGCCGCCTCCTGGCTATGACCATGGTTCCAAGCCGAGTAGTGGGGCAGCACAGGTGGGGGAGCCGTTGTGGGTACAATCGTACTTACGGCAGTGTTGCATGGATGCAGTAGCTGGCGGTCTGGACGCACTAGTTGCGCGTGTATTCTATCGTGCATCTTTTCCAGTGCAATCGTTCACGCCCCTTGTAATAGTTCGTGTCCCCAAGCACTAGTTTGCGCAATGGTTCTCGCAGGCGAACTATTGCACCTCCCACCGCCACCCCATTGGCGTTGACCCATCGCTCAAGTCTAAAGTGATGCTGCATCTTGGTACTGGTTCATGCCGGCCGTCGCCGATTCGCCAGGATGATCCACAGATTGGCGATGATCAGGATGGGCGATGACCACGGTCCACACCGACGTTTTTACGTTCAGTCTTGGCCACGGTGATCGTTTTCGTTCCCTCAAGAGGCGGTGCGCCGCGGAGGCGCCCTACTCGGCACGCTACGACGAGCTGCACGAGTGGGTTTACCACCAGTCGAGTAACCAGGCTCAGTAGGGGGAGCACATCTACCAGATACCACCGATGCCGCTGCTTGACCTGGAGGGCTCTCGTCGCCATTGCCGGGTGATCCTCCTTCGGACTGGCTGGCCTTTGCCCCTGGGCTGGGGCCGGCGGAAGGCCCGTGGGCTGCGGTGTTGCCGGCGGAAGCCAGCCGATATGGTACCGCCACCTTTTCCTCGTTCTGACCTTCTTTGGCCTTCTGGGAGGCCGTCGTCGCCACGGCTTGATTCTCCTCAACACTCTGGTCAGAAGGCACTCCTGAAGAGGCCTGAGGAGCGCCTTTTTCGGGCCCGACGAAAGGGGGGGATGGGGAAAGGGGGGGGTCCGAAATTTGCTGCATGCAGCTGGTTTCGGCTCCACCGAGGGGCCCATCCCTCGATACATAGCCGCCTCCGGCGCCAGGAAGATCAGCTACGTGAGCTGATTCTCAAACCCCCCCTTTGCTATCCCCCCCTTTCGCCCGACCCGACTTTTGCAGGGGCAACTTTGGGGGGGGATGGGCTCAGGGGGGGATGCATCAGCCCCCAGTCGCCCATGCATCGTCACTGGGGGCCTGACAGCCCACCCCGCCCATGAACATGCGTAGTCACGTTCGGGGGATTCTCGCCGAGCAATCTGACAGGCATCACCGACTCAAGCTCGATGTTTCCCCCCCTGAGCTGGTTCCCCTCCCTAGCGTGCCCTGTAGTGCCAATACCGCTGCTCGTCCTGGGGAGCTCTCGTCGGGAAACAACCAATGACAGAATCATGAACTTTAGGATCTCCGAGAGCTTTTGCTTATGCCATTGTTTGTTCCTCTGCCTCGTCGCCACGGCCTGATTATCCTTGGAATCCTCGTCAGAACGCAACCCGCGAGAGGTTTGCCGTTGGCGAGCCAATGGGGGGATGCCGTTATGCCCCCTCACAGGCGGCGGTGGTTGGCGCCAGGCAAGTTGTCGACTCGAGCTTCCCGAAGGCCGCCGGCTGGCAGGTCGGAGCCACCCAGGATTGGCCGCATGCTGTGAAGATCTAGGCCTCGCGACTGGGGTCCGAGCACATGGGTCGGAGGATCGCGCCGCATTGACGATGCACCACAGATATCAAGCACGCATCGGCGATGCAGCGGCGACGTCGGCGTGGAGAAGCTCTGGTCGACTCGGGATGCCTCCAGAGGAGTGACCGTTCGCCAGAGTGGCCTTCGGTGTGCGGCTTTCGGGCGGCGCGGGGAGGTGCACACCCGAGCAATCCGAGGAGGGCGAGCTTACTCTCGGGGGGCCCTCCTCGCCGCCACGGCGGGACGCAGCTCGGAACATCGGTGCGTGTGGACAACGAGGGCAGATTTGAGCTGCCGTTGTCTCCTTTCGCCCTGCTCCGAAGCAGGCAGGGCCATGGAAGTCCCCGTCCTGCCGCATCGCATGGAACCGTCGGCGGACCGCGCACCCGGGGCCACTCCTGCCGTGGGCCGCCGGCATAGGAGCAGACCCGGAAGTTCTGGCAGGACCAGGGGAAGGCCGAGGTCGGCCGCGAGAACCGGAAGTTGGTCGCCAGGGGAGGCCAAACGTGACCCAGAACAGGCGTTCTCTGGAGAGGGTCGGACAGGTTTAGGACGAGGAGAAATCTTTTCCAGAGCGTTCTGGAACGATCTCAGAGCGTTCTAGAACGCTCTGAGCAGCCCGCGGCGCCCGATGCATGTTCCAGAGCCGCCGGATCTCAGAGATTCTCGATTTAGTCTCACCCGAATGTACATCGTCCTGGCTTCGTCTTCGAGGGGGCCCCAGGACCCATCTCGGGAGGCTCAACGGCTGCGTTCTAACGCCCACCGCGGCTGAAACTGCGGCCGCTGCGACACCTCAATGGGGGGTACGTCGTCCTGGGGTTTACGCGTGGGCCTTCCCGAGGTCGACCGGCTGCAGAAGATCTCTGGCGGCATCGGTGAGTCCGAGGGCGTCAGGAGACCGTTATGTGTCAGGGTCAGGAAGGGGAGGAGGAGGAGGAGGAGGAGGAGGAGGAGGAGGAGGAGGAGGAGGAGGAGGACGAGGAGGAGGACGAGAAGGGGGGGGAGGAGGAGGAGGAGGAGGAGGATAGGAGGAGGAGGAGGAGGAGGAGGAGGAGGAGGAGGAGGAGAGGAGAACGAGCCACTGAAGAAATCTGGCTATATCCAGCCTGCCCAGTCACCCCGCCCACGTCCCCAGATAGTTTGACTTTGTCGGCTGTGCAGGTCCGAGAGGGGTGCATAGTATAAAGTCGGGCGTGTCCTTCCACTGGAGGAATATTCAAGAATAGTCAAAAATTGTGAAGAATCGTTATCTTTTATTCGTTTTGGGCTGTTTTGGCATATTGTTTGACCATGTTTTATTTTCCTTCCAAAATCCGCCTGTAGAGGACATGCCCGACCTAAGCATAGTACTGGCGCGCGCGAGCAGACGTGGGTTTGTCCAAAGCGAAAAGGTGAGGTTCAAAACAGCTGGCTGCTCCAATTTTTCCGATGCGTGGGCACCGGATGTCCGGACCACTTCCTTGGGGCCAGTGTTTCGTCCTGAGTCGTTTTTTGAAGCTCCCGGGGCCCAGCGGGGGACTCCAGAGGCAGAACATGGGCAAACACCGCCCGAAGCGCTGGATCTCTGGGGTTATCGGCCGCCCCCCCCTTTCGCCCCCCTACCAGATAACCTTGGGCATGGCAGATAAATGCAGTCGGACCGCGGTACAAGATCGAGGTCGTCGGGTCGTTGAGGGTCCCCTGGTACAAATACTCTTGGAACGATTGTTCTATTATGTTTTGCGTATGTTTTCAAGTTCTTCACTTTCGTACCAAATCCGCCTGAGGGGTGCCATGCCCGACCCAATCCCAGGTCCGACTGTATGGCACGCTCTCCAGAGTTAAGTCGGGCCTGTCCCCTTACAGGCCGATTTTGGACGTCAAATTTCAGAAAGTATTTTAAACATTCAATCACCTATCAACAAATGGAAAAATCGTCCCCAGGCTATTTTTAAATCATTTTTGAATATTCCTCCTGTAGAGGGACAGGCCCGACTGAACATCAGAGCCCTCGCCAGGGTGCCGAGGGCCGAGCTCCGCGGCAGGAGCCCCCACGCGCTCCACCGCCCCGCCTCGGCGGCGGCGCTGCGAGCGGCCGGCGGCGACGGCGAATCGCGGCAGCAGCCCCGCTCGCGGGCCGACCCGCCGAGGTCGATCGAAGGGAGGGAAATCGCCGTGGCTCGGCATCCTAAGAAGGAAAATCGCCATGGCTCGGCATCCTGAGAAGGAAAATCGCCATGGCTCGGCATCCGAAGAAGGAAAATCGCCATGGCTCGGCATCCGAAGAAGGAACATCGCCGTGGCTCGGCATCCGAAGAAGGAGCATCGCCGTGGCTCGGCATCCTAAGAAGGAAAATCGCCATGGCTCGGCATCGCTCGGACGTGTGCCTTCTTTCTCGGCGAGGAACCTCGAGGACGTCTTGGATGATTTTTGCCAGAAGAGAGGGAGCACGCACGAGAGCGAGCAGTGGACGTCAGAGCGACGTCGAGATGGGAGGAACGGGTCTTGAGGGACACGGGTCCTGAGGCTTCTCGCTGCTTCTGGCTCACCGGGGCCCTCCACCACGGGCCCCGGGGCTGTCAGAAAACGGTGCAGGATGAAGAATCGGTCCTGGGGGAAGGCCCCAGGGTCCAGGTCACGTTTCCATCAGCACTCGTTCCCCCCGTGCTCCGAACAAAAACACCGCTACGGTAGGTCGTACCGTGCCGACGTGGCCGCGGCCCCGTCGCGGGCGTTCAAGGTTGAACGCCGCCAGTGGCCCAGCGTCGGCTATTGCGGAACGACCTGGCGATCGAGCTGCCGTCGACAACTCGAGATGGAACGGTCCCCGCAGTGTTAGGAACCAGCGCCGGGGTCGTCACGGCACGAGCCTGCCCCACCCTGCCTCGTTGTCGCCACGTGGGGCCTCTTGGGAGGCCCTCGCTGCCACGGCTGGATTCGCCCCGAAGTCCCGGTCAGAGCGCACCCCCAGGGGATGTGTCTTGGGGACCAGCGGTATCGGTACACAATGTCTGGTTCCCCAGAGGTGGAAAACGCAAAGAGCCATCGAGCAGGACACCCTCGGCCTGGTGCGGCCCATCCTGGGGGAGAGAGAGAGCGGCACAAGCATGAGCTCTCGGAGGGCGTCGCGGATTTCTTTGATCGGTGCTAGCCGCCGGCGTGCGGAGCGCGTCAGGGGCGTCGCCGAGGCGCCGCCAGTGAGGCCCAATGCCGATCCAAGAAATGATGTGTATGCGTTTGTTGGTTTTTCCTTCTCGCCACATCCTAAGGGGGCTGTCTTCTTTTTCTCTGACAACACCCCCTGCAGTCCTCCCACACCCTCCTTTCATTCTCTTCGTCTTCGCACGCATTGTGCATTATGATCACCATCGCCATCATCACCATCATCACACCACCATCGCCATTATCATCACCGTAACCGTCCCATCAAGACACTCGACTATCGGTCGCCATCTTCACCAACATCATCCTCGTCATCATCATCTTCAGCATCATCGTTGCACACACTCACTCACTCGCCCACTCACCCACTCACTCACTCACTCGCTCACACACACACTCACACACTATCACACTCATCTTGAGGAAGACTCGAGCGGGGTCTTCGTCTGCTGGTGAATTCCAAGGAAGTCGCATGTGGTAGCCCCCCATGTGAGGCCTGCACACCATGTTATTTCCCAGCCAGACTGTGGTGTGTGTGTTCTTGTTTTGAAGAGGCAGCGCCCCGCGTTCCTCCTCCCTCTCCTCCTGCTCCTCCTCCGTCTCCTCCCTCCTCCCATCCCTGCCTCTGCCCTCCGCATGTCCACCATGTCAGCGCACCCAGTACAGCGCTTCGCAGCCCCATAGGGAGCTTCACCGATGGCCCTAGTGGCTGTGACCACATGCGTCCCGCGCCACCCAGTACGGCGCTTGCTCGTGGCCCCATATTGGAGCTCCACTGCAGGCTTCAGTGGCTGTGGCCACATGCGTCCCGCGCCACCCAGTGCGGCCTTCGTGGCCCCATAGGGTTACCCACCGAGTCTCCACCAAAGGCCCCAGCGGCTGTGACCACATGAGTCACGTGCCACCCAATACAGCGTTTCGTGGCCGCAGGGGTCCAGCGCCATGCAGTACGGCGCTTCGCGGCCCCACAGGTACCTCCACCGACGGCCTCGGTGGTTGTGACCACATGCGTCCCGCGCCACCCAGTACGGCGCTTCGTGGCCCCATAATGGAACTCCACCGAAGGCCCCAGCGGCTGTGACCACATGCGCCCCGCGCCACCCAATACGGCGTTCCGTGGCCCCATAGGGAACTCCACCGGAGGCCCCAGTGGCTGTAACCACATGAGTCCCGCGCCACCCAGTACTGCGCTTCGTGGCCCCATAAGTAGGTCCGCTGAAGGCTTGAGTGGCTGCGGCCACATGTGTCCCGCGCAACCTGGTACGGCGTTTCGTGGCCACATCTGGGGGCTCCACCGAAGGCCTCAGTGGTTGTGACCCCATGCGTCCCGCGACACCCAGTACGGCGTTTCGTGGCCCCATGGGGAGCTCCACCGATGGCCCTCCACCGAATGCCCCAGTGGCGACGTTCGCATGGCGGCCCTGCTCCATTTCGGCACACCCTTCGCACGTCCTGAGGCCCCGTATGAAGCGCCACCGAAGGCCCCAATGGCTGCGCCCGCATGCGCTCCCGCCCCATATCTCCACACCTTTTAAACGTTTCGTGGCCCTGGCATAAGGAGGCCCACAGAAGGCGATACCCAGAACGGCGGTACTCACAACTGCATATGGTTGGGCCCTGGGCCAGGAAAATCACATCGAAGGGGTTCTCCTGAAACCGGTAAACGTCGTCGCGCTTGGGCTCTTCAGTCCTGCATATGACGGTCTCTGGCGGGTGCTTCGTCGATGATGGAATCGTGTGGAAGTTTCAGGCGGGAGCCCCGTCCCAGTGGGGCCCGCAGTTCATGTGTTTTGATGTGTTTGTTTTTCAATCCGACGGGATCATCGTGAAACTTGTATGTAACCGTCGTCATTTTGGGGCTCCTTAGTCCTGCATGTGGCGGAAGTCTCGGGCGGGGGCCTCGTCTGTGAGTGCATTGCAAGGACGTCTCTGGTGGGAGCCCCGTCCCTACGAGCGAGTCGCTGGCGTACTGAAGCATAATGGGCTTCATTTCTGGACCAAATCGCGCCAGAACGCCAGAGTGAGTCTGATTTCTGGATCTGGGAGGCTTGAATTCACAGCAAAACACAATAGTGAGCACCATTCTTGGACCAAACCAAGCCAACACGGTATACGGAGCTTTATTTCTGGACCAAATCAAGCCAGAACACCATCGTCAGTAGATTCCGGACGGGCCGTCAGACCGTGAGACGCCTCCCCTCAGCTCTCCTTTGTGCAGAGTCTTGTGGGAAGAGTAATTGACCTCTTGTAAGACCCTCTGGCGGAACGCTATGAGCGAATACTCAGCGGCATCGTAACTGGTACTCACGAATGTGTGTTTTGGAGATTGCGGTGTTGCCCACATCGGGGAGGGTTGTGTCGCTGGGGCACTGGCCAAAGTGCCCGCCCGTTGGTGGAGTCCCCGTCAGAGGAGCGCTGGAATACCGATACCGCTGCTCGTCGTCCTGGAGGGCCTTCGTTGCCCCAAGAAGTCTGCGTGGACCTTTGACCGAGAGTTCGGAGGCCTAGAGGTTGACACCAACACCAGTACTGGCGGTGTGCTTCCACCGAGAGAAAATCATGCCGATCTCAATGTTCGTGGTACTACTCGGGCGTCCTAGGCGGCCGAAATATTGCCACCGACACCGAAATCCAGGATCATCTTCCTCCCGTGGAGGCAACCCCTAGTGTTGTTTGTGTTGGTGCCCATTTCCAAGCTTCCAGAAGAGTTCATGCTCATGCCGCTTTTTGGTTCCCCTTGCCGTCCTCCGCGCCAAGTCTTCCTGTAGCCGCGCCGGCGAGACGGAGGACTTCGCGAGGCTCGGTGGCGTCCAAGATGGTGCCAAGATGTCTCCCTCCTCCTCCTCCTCCCCCAGGAGGGGGAGGAGGAGGAGAAGGAGTAGGAGGAGAAGGAGGAGGAGGAGGGGGGGAGGAGGACGGAAAAGGGGTGTGTGGACCTCATGGTTGGGGCCAAGATGTCTCCCGGATAACACGGCCTTTGTTTACGGTACGTTCTGCCTTTCTACACTTGCATTCTGTTGAAACGCGTACCACAGCTCCCCGCAAATCCTTCTCGCACATGCCCTTGGCCACGATGCGCCCCCCACCCTCCCGTCTGGAGGATCGGCATGGGCACGCGAAAATGCCACGAAGACCGGCAGCAGATCCTTTCCATTGGACTCGCTGCGGGCGCCGCCGCGGACGTGGCTCGTGCGAGACAGGGCCACCTGTCCACCTGCGGGCGCCGTGCGGTTTTTTGGACCGCATGTGTGGTTGGGCATCGCAGATATTGCTCCACACTCCGTTCGAGCATCCGAGTCCTGGGAGGCAGTGCTTCTTTGAGGTTCTGACGAGCTTACGCTGGCATGGGCGGAGGGGGGGGGGAGGGGCGAGCGAGGCCCGAAAGGGAATGTCCTGGACGTCGCGCAGGCCCAGACGCACCTGCACGCCTGCCTTTCTCGGCCTGGCGCTGTGTGAAAAGCAGAGGCAGCGAGGGAGGGAGGGGAGGGGGGAACGCCATGCAGGTAAACTCGCCTGGGTCTAAAGAATATCAGCCCCTACCCTTTTCGGGTGTCCAAACCTCTCAGATACGACGTCGTGAGAAATGATAAGGGTCGGCGGAAATCGCGACTGGAGCCCAGGACCCCATCCTTCTGCCGCATCTTCTCGGCCAGGGGACCACATTGCCGCGACCGAACCTTAGGGCTGTTTGTTCCATGCCCTTCTGGGCGACAGACAGACCAAATCCTTTTCGGGTGTTTTTCGGTCGCCCCTTTGGGTTTTTTTCTGTCTTGGGTTTGATGTGTATTTTTGTCTTGGCTTTATTATGTCTAGGGTTTTTCTGTCTAAGGTTTTTTCTGTCCTTGGTTTTCTCTGTCTTTTGTTCCCTGCCCCCTTTGCGCATCCAGAACCTGGCGCCCCCCCCAAAACAAAGCACGCACAACCCTCGCCGCCACCGTGGAGAATCGGGAAGGGGATGGGGGCAGAAAAAGCTGACGGACATGTGCTTCCCTGCTGGGCCTTCCCCGCTCGTTCGGCCTCCCCGTCCTCCCCGTCCTCCTCGTCCTCCTCGCTCCTCCTTCCGCCTGGGCTTCACGATTTTAGCGCTTACACGAGTCGTGTTCTCCAATGCCTTGCCGTCATCGCGCGAGTGTTTCGGATACGGCGCGACTGGATCAGAAGGATGCGCGGTAAGGATGCACGGCCCTTGAACTCGGACTGGGCCAGGACGAGGATAAATCCGTTCCAGAGCTTTCCAGAACGCTCTCAGAGCTTTCCGGAAGGCTCCGAGAAGGCCGCGGCGCCCGAGACATTCTCCAGAGCCGCCGGACGTGGGAGATTCTCGACTTTTTCCTCGCCCGAGTTCATCCCCGTCCTGGCTTTGTTTCACGGGCGCCCAAGTTGAGGCCGAAGTTGGATGCCCCCGCGAGGCACCGAAGGGGCGAGCAGCTCCTGCGGCGCATCGCGGAGGGGCGGCGCCCGCGCTGTCGCTGGTCCTCTGGGGGGCTGCCGCGGCCGTTGGCCCCCGCTGCCTCGCCGGGGGGCTCGATGACGCGGGAGCTCGGGCGTTGCGTCATGGGGGGGCGATCAACTGCGATGCAATCCTGGGAGGTTGAAGTCTGTCTCGACGCTGGTATTGTCGTGGTCGTGAACCGGGGTGATTTGGGCTCATTTGCTGACAATGCGTAGCAGTCCCGCTCAATCTGGCTCACTCTGGCTATATCCGGTTCAATTCAGAGCTCAATTTGGCCTGATCCGGTGAAGTGGCCATGCAATCAGGCTTAATCGCTTTGAAACGTTCCAGCGGAGACCTCCCAGGAGTTGCCTCCTACGGGGGAGCGAAGATAGGTACACTTTTTGTGACCCAGAAGGGGCCCCCAGGGCCCGAAGGGGCACGAAAGGTGCACGTTCCGTTTTTCCCCACATCTATTGCCTCCCCATTTAGCAACGCCTGAGGAGCTGCATGGCCTGTTCTTCCTGGCGGATCTCGACGAAGAAAAAAGGGCGACTCGAAATTGGGCAAACTACATGAGCTCTGGTGTTTCAGCGCAATCGGCGCTGGGCCCCATCCCTGGCGCTCGGGATGCGCCAGGGGCGGTGACGGAGGCGCCACCAAGGGGGCCCAACGCCGATCCAAGAAATTGCGTGCATGCGGTTGTTAATTGTTTTTTGTTGAGCAGGTTGGCCAGTGTAGATCCCAAACAGCGTGTTTCTATCAATAGATGTTATGCAACCTATGTTGAGCAACCCATGTGGTGCAATCGATATTGTGCGATATTTGTTGTGCAGCCTACGTTGCAGTACAAGTGTTGCGAACTATGAGGTGCAACATGTGATGTGCACTCTCTACGTGGAACAACCTACGTTTTGCAGTCTACGTTGGTCGTTATATGGTGCCCAATGCACGTTGTGCACTCTATATGTCATGCGACAAAGGTGGTGCATTATATGTGAAGTCATCCATGCGATGCAGTCCATGTTGTGCAATATAGGCTGTACGATATATGTCGTGCAATATATGTAGTGCCGTATTTGCTGTGCAACACACACTGTGCAATATACGTGGAGCAGTCTATGTGGTACAATCAAGGTTGTGCAACGCATGCTGTGAAATATAGATGGCGAGACCTTTGATGTACAGTATGTGTGCATTTGCCAATAAGCACAAACTATTGGTGCAACATATGGTTTACAAGTACCTTTGAACAGCTTGGAGTTGTCAGCTCTATTGCTCGCGCAGTTTTCCCACCCACCCGCCCGCAACTTGGTTTGCAAAACCCATGCGGCGACGATTGCTATGACGGCTTGGTGCTGGCTGTTGCATCGCTGCGGCTGCGCTAGACCGTGCAGGCTCGCGCGCAATTGGCGTGACCGACGCGGCCGAGCTGGCGCTGACCGCTGGGAATTTCCCAGCGGGCACGTCAGTGCGAGTCGATGGCCAGGGCGGGCGCGGTATTATGGCGACGTCGACAACGGCAGACGCGAGGATGATCGTAGCGATGATGGTGGCGATGATGGCGACGACGACGACGGGCGGTCAATGACGGCGCCGATGCTGCTCACGCAGATGACGATGGCGGTTTCTACGGGTCGGCGATGCAGGTTTTGGAAGGTGTTTGACATGCTCGCGCGGCCGACGCGCGCGATTGTCCCGCATGGTAGTTTTGGACAGGCCTCGTGTCTCCCCCCCAGCACGCGCACAAGGGCGTTCGTATGATCTCGGCGTGCAGCGCGAGAGGCCCGTTTGGTCGAATTGCATGGTGTTTGCTTAGCGGAGCACGTTGCGTGATGAATTGCCAAGACGCGCGCACAGCCCGTGTGTTGAAAACTGCTGCTGCTGCAAAACCATGTGTTTATTACATGTGTTTCCGGGGCTCGTTTTTAATAGCCCTACCACACCTCACGTTTTTTCGACAGGATTTTGGCATGCGCGCGCGACGACGCGCTCGCACGTGCACTCCGTCCCGTGTTTGCGGGGGGCAAGGGCGTCCGAGCGAATTCGACATGCGCGCGCGAGAGGCACGTGTGGCAGCACCCCCCGAAGAATTCGCAAGAGCGCGAACGCATGATATTTGGAAAGTTGCTGTTGCAAAACCACTGGCTTGTCATACGTGGTCTGGGCACTCGGCTTTGAACTCTTTCCGACCTTCAAGGTTTTTGTGGGATTGTGGCATGCGCGCGCGACGGAGCACGCGGGTGCGCTTCGTCCCGTGTTTGGCACATGGCGATTGGAAACATATTAATGTTGATAAGCGGGCGGGCGCGCATCCTTTTGGAGCACAAATGCGGTGGGGCGAGGGGGGGAGATCTTGAAACCAGCTTAGAGAAACGGAGAGTCTAAGTTGTGCAAGTAATTAATGGTCACTGGTGAGTGGTCAATTCCATTGCTCGCGCAATCATCCCAACCACCCATCCATAATCTGGGTTGCAAAGCCCATGCGGCGGCGATTGAGGTGACTGCGTGGCGCTGGCTGGCGCATCGTTGCGGCCGCGAGCACGCAGGCACGCACGCAGAGAGGCCAGCTAGTTTGGCCTGGCCGACGCGCCAGACCGCCACAACATAGAAAGAAGTGCGAACCCCCAAGTGCAAACGCTGTTTGGGGAATGGAAGATACCGACACCGCTGCTCGTCCTGGAGTGCCCTCTTTGTCACGGTGGGGTTTCCCGAAACTGTATTCAGAATGGGCCTTGGAGAGGTCCCGGGAGTAGCAGTCTCGGTATTTTTACCCCCACATTCCCGACGACATGATTTGTTCAATTTCTGCGCGTTCCTTCTGTTTGGCCCCTGGGGGGCCGATTTCGGGCCCGGCGGGCGATGACACCTGGATCCAGAACGCAGACCTACACCCGGGGAAGGGATCGGGGTCTCTGGATCCGTTGACCGAAGCACAATGCCGAAGGATGTCGGACAAGGAACAGGTATCGATATCGCCATCTTTCCTTCGTCGCCGCGGCCGGATGTTGCCCCGAATCCTGGTCAGAGCGCGCCCTTGGGGTGGACCAGGGAGTGGCGGTATTGGCATGTGTTTGTCTCCCCGAAAAGCAGCACAGACAGAATTTATCGCAGGTCCGCGCGGATCTCTTGGATCGGCGCTGGGTCCCAGCGGCGCCGCCCCTGGCGCGCTCCGCGCGCCAGGGATTCTCATGGACCTCCCAGCGCGTAAGGACATACACTTTTCGGTGTGCCGTCCCAGACCCCCGACGTTGTGCTTTCCTCATAACGTAGACCCTCAGAGGCTTGAACCCTTTGCCCCAGACCGGCTTTTCCATTCCGAGCCGTTCTTCGTGGCTCTGGGGCCTGGCGAGGGCCCCAACAGGCCGACCATAGCAACAGACCAAAAACCGCGTGGCCTGTTTGCCACGACGCGGGTGTCTGGCAAGTTTGCATTGTTGCTCGTGTCGTGTAGGATCTGCAGCGCGCCGGGCAAGGCCAGCTCGCGGTGGAGCGAGCCGCCACTGCCGTCGGGCGGCTCGCGGGCGCCCAGCACGACGGCCTCTCAGGCACCCTGCTGCCCGCAGCCAGCCTGGCGCCAGAGCCGATGGAGATGGCGGCAGCGGAGCTCGGGGACAACGCTAATCGGGTCGAACGAAAGGGGGGATAGGGAAAGGGGGGGGTACGAAATCTGCCGCATGCAGCTGGTTTCGGCCCCTCCGCCGGGCCCATTCCTCGATACGTGGGCGCCTCCCGGCGTCGGGAGGCGCTGGGAAAATCAGCTACGTGAGCTGATTCTCAAACCCCCCATTTGCTATCCCCCCCTTCTCGCCCGGCCCGAGTTACGGGGGGGATAGGCTCAGGGCAGAACACGTCGACCCCCAATCGTCCATTCATCGCCGATAGGAGCCCAAGAGGCCACCCCGCCCAGGATCGTGCGCACCCGCTACAGGGGGGCCTACGCCAGCAGCCAGCCTCGCGTTGGAGTTCAGCATCGTGTTACGTATCCCCATTCCAGCTTGGCATGGTCTCTCGAACTTGCCAGCCATCCCTCCTAGGTGGGGATCGCCCCAGCGCAACCGGAAGGCGCGGGCACTTCTACCCACCTAGGTGGGCAAGTCGGTCAGTGGGGCGAAGGCCCCGCCAGAGCGAATAGGCATTGGTTATCGAACGATGCTCAGGAGCCGGGGGAGACGGCGGCAGCGGGGCTGGAAGGCACGCCTGGGCGTGCTCAGACCTGGGGGGGCCAGAACTGCGACGAGGAGACCGCGAGGCGGCGTTGGTCTGGGCTGCCCGAGATCAGCAGGGCGAGCACCGAGGCAGGAGGTGTCCCCGAGGGCGTCGTGCAGGAGCCCGCGTGGCACGGCGACAGCGCTGCGCCGCCGATGTCGGGAGCTCTGTCCTATGGATACCTGCTGCAGGATTTGGCCCATATGCCGACCGACACATTTCAGCGGTACTTCCGGGACGATGTACAGCTGCGCTGCCGCGCGAATCCGCTTCCTTGCCTTGGGCGGGCGCATGCGCCGTTGTTAGACCTCGACTCGCGATGTTGGCGCCGTTTTCTTTCTGCTTTGCACGAATCGTAGGGACATGCTCTGGAACATGAGCGCGCGTCAGGCTCGATGCCCCGGTGGACTCCAATTGTGCGTTCGCAAGCAGCGACACTGATCAAAAGCGAAAGGCCGTGATACACACACACACACACGCACCATTTTGCCATCCAGCGGCCGAGAGACGTCACTGCAGCGAGGGACTAAGGCGGGCCACGCTTAGCGTCAATTCCGCCTGGCGTTGCAGGTGTGCTGACAGCGCAGGGCGAGTCGCCTGCAGAAAATATGAGTGGACACGCGCACACGCATACACACATACGCACGCACGCACACAGTCTTTCCTCTCCGCGTAAGATCCGTCACACCTGAACAAGACGCGCACACACAAACTCACACACAAACACAAACACACACACACGCACACATTAACACACAAACACACATACACACAGCTGCAACCGTGGCGGCGGGTCTCTCATCGCCCTCGTCAACATGATGCCGTTGCGGAGCTTGCCGTCCTGTGCAGCGAGGACTGGAACGACGCCTCCGTGACCAGTGGGTCGCCATCGGCCGCCAAGGCGCTCGGCGGTAGCCGCGGTCCGAAGCGACGGCCCAGGCACAGGCATGGCGCCGCGCTGGGCGGCCAGGCCTGAAGGGAGGCTTGGCGCGCGGCGTCGTCGCCCGCACTCTCCTCCGCTGGCTCCTCCGCCTCCTACTCCGTTGTCGTTTGGCTCAGGCCACGCTGGCTCAAGGACAGTCGGACCGAGGTATAAGATCGAGGTCGGTTCGGGGAGGGTGCCCTAATGTTATCCGTTTTTTGGACGTTCTGGTGCAGTCTGGGGAGAGCCCTTGGATGTTCTGTGTGTTTTGACCCGCGAAGGGTCTCATGTTCTTGAAGGACGTTTTTCTGTCCTATGTCCGACCGTGGCATGTCGTTCAGGCCAGAGTTGGTTCGAGTCAACTGGCTGCATGCGCCGCTGTGCCCTGGGGCTGTGCCATACGTGTGCCGTAAAAGAGCTGGCGTGGGCGCTGGTTCCCTTGGTTTTGTCAGTGAACGCCGCGGTGTGGGGCGTGCATGCCCATCCTCGTCTTCGTTGGCGGCGTGGCATGATGTTCGTTGTGTTCTTCCTCCGTGGCTATTGCCAGGGTGCTACGTGCCCCAGGGTGTCCGACGTTGACGGTTGAGGCAACGGCGTGTGTTTTCACGCTTTTAAGTATCTATACCGGTTGCGGAACGTCTTTAGGGTTTGCACCTCCATTTTTGTGTGGCGATGTTAAACGTTCGTGCCCTCATATTTGCAAGGTCTGTTCCAGTCTGGGCCTGCATTCATTTCCAGTGGGGGGGGACGCCGTGTCCACGATTAGCTGTATGCTCTGGTCGCATTCGGCGGCGATCGGTTTGGGTGTATCGGCTGTTTTTCTTGGCCGTATGCCCCCACATTGCTGCTTGATAGTTGTGTTTTTTGGTGGCATCACTGTGTCATGTGCGCCTTGGCTTGTTGGTTATGTGCTCTACGTGGTTCTCGAGATGGGCATCGAGGGATTCTCACTCGCCTATGGCTTTGACGAGGGCGTAGGTGCCGTGTTTCGCCGCAGCGTGTTCTAAGTACGTCTCGAAAGGGTTCATGGTCCTCTTGCTGGCCACGCCCGCGCTGAACTGTTCACAAATATGTTGAGTTGCCTGGAGGCGCCACAAACCATGGGATCCGCCGAAAACCGCCAAAACGACCATACCGCAATTGCCGGCATTAACCGCTATTGGCCATACGAGTAAGAAGGAGGAGGAGAAGGAGGAGGAGGAGGAGGACGAGGACGAGGACGAGGAGGAGGAGGAGGAGGAGGAGGAGGGAGAGGGGGAGGAGGAGGAGGAGGAGGAGGGAGGAGGAGGAGGGGGAGGAGGAGGGGGAGGGCAAGCTAGGTGCGCTCGCGTCATATCTGACTTCCTACCCCTCCCTCCCATCCCTTTCCATGGCGTAGATCCCCTCTCTACTCTCACAGTCGGATGTCGAGCAGGGCAAGGATCCCGAAAGGGTACGCGTCATGCATTGTAGAGCATGGCATGGCATGGCGTAGAAAAGCACCGCAAAGCGTACTATGTCATGGCGTGGCGTGGCGTAGTGAAGAATTACATCACCAAGCTTTGCAACGCAAAGCATGGCATCGCACAGCGGCCCCGAACATAACATTGCATAGCATGGCGTTGACGATCAATGTGTAGCATGGCATAGCACGACGTGGCACTTAAGCACTGCATATCACAGCTTCAGCTCAAGGCATGGCATCGCGCAGCGGAACGCAACCTAGCATTGCATTGCATTGCATGCCATGGCATGGCACGGGAAATGACGCCAGCGCTGCAGCGGGAGCACGATTCGGAACGAGCGGAAGCGCGGAAATGAGGCCAGCGCTGCAGCGGGAGCACGATTCGGAACGAGCGGAAGCACGGAAATGAGGCCAGCGCTGCAGCGGGAGCACGATTCGGAACGAGCGGGGCCCGAAAATGAGGCCGGCGCCTCAGCGAGAGCAGCATTTTGGAAAAATGCAGGCGAAAACCCAACTCCGGGGAATCTTGTGTGTAGAAAAAACAGTACGCGGGGGGGGGGGGGGG